GATCTATATCCATATATTTGCTTATATATATATATAATGTGTGTGTGTATTTTGAATGCACGTAATTATTAAGGCACATGTTATTAAAGACTATGGAACTCTTCTGCTTGATGCTCTTTTTCTCAGTTTTTTCTTGATTCCTCGCAAGATTCTTAATGTTTGGGTCCATGTTGTTAAAATAGGATCCGAGTCAATGGTTCTCTACCGAGTGCTTTTGGTTGTTCTCAACCATTATCATGGTGTTTGTTTTTATTTGAAGATATATTGTTGGTTGTTTTAGTTTTATAGATAATATTAGACAATATTTTTGGGTTAATTCATTATTGGTAAGGAGTGGATTGATATTTTTTATTGGAGGAATAGTTCTTAAATATGTTTAAGATGTTTCTTGCCTGCTTTGAGAATGCATCTCGCATAATAACCCTAACACATACATTGAACACACAACCACAACTCTCTCACATAGGCTAACATATCTCAACGACACTAGCGCCATAAAAAATCATCTTGTAACAATACACAGCACCACCAGTAACCCATTCAAATCATCTGACATAAGAAAAATTTTAATTAACAACACCAAAATCATACTTATTATAAAACCCAGGTTGTGTGTGTGTGTGTGTCTGTTCATTTATATATTGGATCGGATTTCCTGCTTTTTTCAACCGATTTCAACAAAACTTCACAGGACTACATAAAATTACCTTGCAGTGGTTCTGACAGCACCAAAAATTGGGAAAACACAATTGTTTTTTTGCATGAAATCAATTTGAAAACACGATTAAGAGGCATTGCTGTTGCGAGAATGAAAGAGGGACAACTCATATCGAGTTATACTTATTATAAAACCCAGGTTGTGTGTGTGTGTGTGTTCCTTTATATATGGGATCGGATTTCCTACATTTTTCAACCGATTTCAACAAAACTTCACTTTTTTTTTTTTGCAGGTAATGTTTCTTATTGTCTTGCACACTTTTTTTCTTTATTTTTACATTCACAATGCTTTAAAATTCCATTTACAAGGCAATTGTTTATAATAAAATTCTATTCAATCGGTAGACTCATAATGATTGAAAACAATGTTTTTGTTTAAGTTTGGGTTTGACCAATTCGTAACAAAAACCAAAACAAAGCAAAACAAAAAAACTAATTAAGACATGCGTGTCCATCAACCTTAAACAATAATCTTTGTCAATTTTATTTTTCAGTCTTTATGATGGTCGATACTTGATCTCTGTCTTACTGTTACATCCCCGGGCAACGCTGGGCTCTACTGCTAGTGATCTATAAAAGCAACTGCAAAAAACAACTACAAATTCTGGAAGCCATACTAACCAAAAACCCAACATAAATAAAATAGCATTTAATGGAAAGCATGTACAGTTACATTGAGCCAATTCAATTTGCTTTTTTTTTTCTTTTTTTAATTGAATTCACCCCAAGCAAGGCAGTAAAGCCACTATAACACAAGGGGTTACTTGGTGTGGAGGAATTAGGAAAAAAAACATTACTAGTAAAAAAGAGCAATCAGGAGGACAGTAGATAGCGATTGATATTGCATTTAAATTTTTGGACATTAAAGTTGGTTAGAAAGTATGGAGCTGGAAGAGAGTTCCACAAGCAAGAAGTGTGGGAAAAGAAACTCCATGCTCTCCTGGTAAACCAAATAAATACTTACAGATTCAAATATAAATGACTAATATATACCTATTGTCATACCAAGTAAATGATTATAGACTCAAATATAATAATAAAAAATGGATTTCAACATTAAATAACCCAAAAAGTTTTGACATGTCATAAACCAAACCAGCCCCACCCAACCCATTCATTTAAGTTATAAGTGCACTAATAAAAATAAAACTGCTTAATATAAACATTTATGTTATGGTTTCTGTCAAGGTTGATGATGGGTGTAACAGCATTTTCTTGTTACTGTTTTAAAAAGTAAGGTATTTATAGAAGAATGAATTGCCCAAATGTCATATTAAAAAAGACTAAAGATAGATTTTTATCAAGCTTTTATTTTCTCATTCAACCTGAGGTACCAGAAGAAAAAAAAAACAAGATGGCAGCTGTAAGCCAGATCTGTAGAATGTAATAAGTTCTTTCTGAAATAAAATCATCTCTTTGCCAATGTCTGAAAATGGTAGGAAAATTATTTACAGATGTGTTTTTTTGTTTGTTCTTTAATGCAAACAAGGAATTTGAATTATTCTTATTCTTTTTACAGTCAGTTTCTTCTGTTTTAGGCCACAACATTGCAGGACATCATTGATATAACTGGACTGTATTTTGATGAGACAGAGTTATGGGCCTTGTGCAGAGAAACTCTTCTCTTGTTAAACAAAATAAAAGAGATACGTAAGTTTTTTTCTTCTTAAAATGCCAAACTGGACACTGTTGGAAAATGTTTACTTACCTGCAACTGGACAGATCCCAAATCAATGATTATTATAACTTTAGTTTCTTTATCATTCTTGTAATGTAAATAAAGAAAAAAAAGCAGTAACAAATGTTGCATTAGATGAAGAAGGATTGATTATTTTTGGTAGGGAGGGGGCAGTGTTAATAATCCAGAAGAAAATTGATTTGTGTCAATTGATTTTAGTGGACATAATAATAAAAAAAAAAAAAAAACTTTAAAAAGAAAAATCAGTAAATAAAATCAAATTTCTTAATTTATAGCAAATTTTATAGGCGTAGTTGGTTTAGGTGACTTATTTTACGTGGTGTGTGATGATGTTTTGATTATTTATTTGTTTATTTGATTTTATATATATATATATATATATATATATATATATATATATATATATATATATATATATATATTTTAATTAAAAACAGACCACTTTAAGGTTCCATGTAATAAATAATTTATTACATGGAACCTTAAAGTGGTCTATTTTTATTTAAATTATTTGCCCTGGATTTACATTGAGCTCTCTGGATTTTATCCTCCTTAGGTTTACCCATATGGATTATCTAGTTTTTCATAAACTATATATATATATAAATAAATTGTTGGAGGTACAAAACCGTAATATTGCAAGGAGTAAATATGAATTATTTCTTAAAGGCATTATGGAAACAAAATAAAAAATAAGAGATGACAACTCTCACAAACAGACCAACCGGTTTCGTTCCCAAGCTCATCAGGGTCGACTGGGAACTAATTCACAATAATTGCAATATAAATAACTCACACACACACCCTACATACAATTAAAACTTTAAAAATGAAAAGATTAATGGTATGAAGGGAAAAAAAAAAAAAAAAAAAAAATAAGTAAATATTATATATATATATCTTTTTTAAACTGTGCAAATATGCACAATAAACGGGGGAGAAAAAAAAAATATATATATATAATGGAGTGTGAGGGGGGGGAAATTATGATAAACACTAGAGAATAATGACGTGAAGCCCAAGGAGACAGTCTCTTTGCTTACACAAAGATGGCTCCCTGGACCGAATATATAGAGACTCTAGTGCTTTCAAATGGAATGCAGAGTGCGAACTGGATAGTACAGTGAACCAATTCGGACTAAAGTTCTTCGCACAATCCCTGCAATTTATTAAGTGCTCCGTGATCGCTGAACCGGAAGTATTAACCAACTGGCTCTTAAGAGCTTCCGGATTGAGAACTCGTAATGGGACATGCTGCCTGATCCTACAATCTAAACACTGGGAAGTTCTTCCTATGTAGTTGCTACATAACCACATTTAAAAAGAATATATCACGGAGGAGACATGATGGGAGGAAGAGGATCCTTGCACATAGAGGGAAAAGGCAGAACGAGTCGCAAAATGAATTCTTAGTTGAGCAGAGAAAAAAGCAGTCATGGACGGCTGACAAGATACAACAGCCAAAAGCTCACCTCGAGAACCAATAAATGGAAGCCGAAATAAACAGGACATTTCTGAACACTGTATTGTTTTTCCTTTTGAAAGTTAATAATTTTATCACGCATAACAACATCAAGAATATCATTAGGATATCCATTTTGTAATAGAATGTGGCGGATAAAATTAAATTCTTCATCCAAAATTTTTCACTGCAGATCATCAAGGCCCTATGAGTTAGGGTCTTGATTAGATTGATTTTTGCGTTTCCTGGGACAAAATGAGTCCCAAACGCGTTATACAGACCAGAAAACGTTGGTTTCTGAAACAATCATGTAAAAAATTGAGAAGGAGTTCGATGCCCAAGGACATCAAGAAAAGAGAGACACAATTAGACTCCTTTTCAATGGTGAATTTTAAGGATGGATGAAGTTGATTCATAACTGTAAGAAAAGAATCAGCTTCCACTTCACTATTAAAGAGACAAAATTATTGTGAAATAGTTCCCAGTCGACCCTGATGAGCTTGGGAACGAAACCGGTTGGTCTGTTTGTGAGAGTTGTCATCTCTTATTTTTTATTTTGTTTCCATAATGCCTTTAAGAAATAATTCATATTTACTCCTTGCAATATATATATATATATATATATATATATATATATATATATATATATATATATATATATATATATATATATATATATATATATATATATATATATATATATTATATATATATATATATATATATATATATATATATATATATATATATATATATATATATATATATATATATTATATATATATTATATATATATATATATATATATATATATATATATATATATATATATATATATATATATATATATATATTTATATATTATATATATTTATATATTATATATATTTATATATATATATATATATATATATATATATATATATATATTATATATATATATATATATATATATATATATATATATATTATATATATTATATATATATACTGATGGCTTATGGCCATATCACACTGAAACACCATTTCTAGTAAAATCACCAAAGTTAAGCAATGTTGTGCCTGGTTAGTGCCTACATGGGTTACCACTTGGGGATATTGGGTGCTGTAAGATTGAATGTATGAGTGATGTAATGGAATACATCTTGAAATTGGAGAGCAAAGTGCCAATTCCAGCCAGGTTCATTATATTCAATGATGCCCAAATATTCTTGGGAAAGGTATAAATCCAATTCTTTTCCCTGCAGCTATGAGTTAATTAGTAGGATTTGTATTAGTAAATCATTTCTCAAAAAAATCTGAGAATCTAAAGATATTTTCTGGCTTTAAATATATTGCAAGAGGTTGATAAGCTGTAAAAAAATAAATTTATACTAATATTTATCTAATACAAGGCCTAAGAGCTACTCTAGGTAGAGGGTTACTGTGTGGTGTTGTATGAGTGTAAGAAAGGGCAAGAAAAGAAGTTCATGGGACGAAGCTGTCCTAATGGAACTTACTTCTATCATAGGAATAAGAAGGGAATGGAGATGATTCGCTCCTGTGCTCATGGCACAGTAGGTCACAGTTGAAAAGGTCAGGGGTGGTTGGACTAAGAAATGTAACTTGTCAGAATACATGCTGTGGAAATAGAATAACAAGGGACTCAATGTTTCATCTGTGGGAAAAGGATTTAGGGTGGAGAATAAGGCTGCATTGATGCTTTTGGACTCAAGATTGGCAAGTGAGGGCTGGGTAGCTCCAGCTCAGAAACAGCAGCAATACTCCATTTTTGGTCTGATCTGGATCTTGTAAAGATAGTGTATATCAGGAGGAGTCTGATGCTTACTGGAATGGTACAAGAGACTGACCATTTTTTCAGCATGTTTAGCAATAGATCAGATATAATTTCCATTTGTGTTCCGGGGGTGAACTTGAGTTCCAATAGTTGTTTAATACAAGGAGCCTTCTTGTAAGACCACACCCATCCATCATAGTATGCGAGAGTTCAGGGTGTGCTCAAAGGTGGTGGAGAATTACTAGTTTGATTTTGTTATGATGATCTTGTCATGTATTTAATAACCCAGTGTTTGAAACATCAGTCTTGAGTATGACACAATGAGATTGTATGTAAGAGAGAAAAAGTTGCAGCAGAGTTTTGGAAAAGAGAATGTGTAAAGAATCCTGGAAAAAACACTTATACACAAATATATGAAATGAACAATTATTGATCACTCTAAAAGCCAGTCTGCATCCAAAGATGGTGATGTTATGTATCTGCTTGGATTCAAAGGACATTGTGTTTTATGAGCTTCTTCAGATGTTGGATTCAGACAAATACTGCTGCCATTTGGATAAATTATAAACAGCTATCAATGAAAAGTGTTTGGAATCAGCCAAATGGAAGAGTGTCATCTTCCATCAGAACAATGCCAGTCTTCATGTCTCTTTGCAGAGCCAATAGAAATTGGTACAGCATGTCTGGGATTTCCTGCTACACTTGTCATACTCACTTGACCTTTTACCTTCGGTTTACTACTTATTTTGATCCATACAAAATTCTCTTAAAAGGAAGAACTTCAGTTCTCTGAAAGTGTTTAAAAACCAGTTAAATGAATTCATCACCTAGAAAAATGCCAAGGTTTTGGAGGCTGCCTCAAAGATAGCTTAAGGGAAATGGAACAGAATGAGGTCGAATAAATCTATGTACAAGTATTTAAATATTGTCTTTGAAAAATGCTGCAGATGTTTCTTCCAACACTAATTACTCAAAATATAGATGCTTATTATGATTACCTATAGATATGTAAATTAAACAGTTATACTTATTTCTGATGAGTCATCTCTTGATGTAATTAAGTGATTATGGTCTACAAATCTTATAAAGCCTATGCATACACACCTAACTTGAGTAGGCCTATATCATTAGAACTGGTTTATATCAAAGAATAAAGATATTGTGGCTTTTATATCATACCTATTAATTCTTCAATATTTTCTAACAGAATTAGAGACAAAGAGGACATAGAAGAAATAACAATAAAAATGCTATAATGTAAGACATTTTACATATACAGGGTGTCCATAAAGTTCGTGTGCACTTAAAAGTTATAAATTGTTTAAATTACACACGAACTTTATGGACACCCGATATATATATCTGCAAATAAGAAATAAGTACAAAACAAAATAAAACTATTTTATAACAGAAGTTGAAATATAATTTTTTACAGGATCTAAAAGACATAACACAAATAAAAAATTTCTATAATGTAAGATTTTTTTTTTAATATATAGTTTTGCAAATACAAAATAACTACAAAAAATAAAATGATTTTAGAAAAGAAGTTGAGATGTATTTCTTAAAGGAAATCGTAAATATATAGTAGAAGAAATAAAAATTTTAAATTCTATAATGTAAGACTTTTTACATAAAGTGGAAATTCAACTGGAGTCAGTCGGTATAGTTTTACTGACTCCGACTCCATTGATCCCTTAATTGCTTCCGACTTCAACTACACAACCCTGTTTTCAATGCATTTCTATATTAAATTTACTTTCTATGTATATCTTCACTAAATTTACTTTCAATGCATTTCTATACCAAATTAATTTTCAATGTATTTTACTAGTAAAATAATTTTCATGGCAAAGTTATTTTCAATATATTTTTCATAAAATCATTTTCAGTACATTTCTCCTGTAAAATGATTTTCAATGTATTTTTACAGTAAAATGATTTGTGATTTATTACTATAGTAAATCATTTTCAATATATTTCTATAGCTCATTACTATATTTATATCATTTACAAAGCATTTCTGTAGTTTGATTTTCAATATCTTTCTGTATTAAATAATTTTCAATAGATTTCTGTAATAAAGTGTTTGTAATGTAATTGTATAGTATCGTGTCTATTTCTCTAGTAAATATTTTTCAGTGTACTTCTGTAGTAAAATCTTTTCCAATGCATTTCTATAGTAAATCATTTGCTATCCTTTTAATAAATTAATTACAAACTAGTAAGTAATAATATTTCTTCATAGCAAAACATTTGTGATCTATTTCTTGTACTCCTTCTGTTATTGATATTCTTGTATGATTCTTGAATAGTGAATGGAGAGCCGAGTTCCAATTCCAATTGGCTTCTTTATATTCACTTATGCACAAGTACTCTTGAGAAATGTATGAATCCACCTCTTCTCCTCCAAGCTATGGGGGAAGTAGTAGGACTTGTATCTATAAAATCCTTATAATCCCCCAAAAATTCTTTAAATCTAAAAATATTTTCAGGCTTTAAATAAACTGCAACATAAACCATAAGAAACAAATCAATCAATTGTGAATATCTGTCTATGTCTCTGAGATGAGGTATTATGATTACTTGAATATTTTACATTACTTGGACCGTTATCCTCATCTTCATTGCCATATTCACAACATTTCGGCTGTTGTACGTTCCGGCCTTCTTCAGGTGATTAGAATTTCAAACCGAACCCTTTGTTTCGTCCATCAGGGTAGATTGTTCTAGTTCCATGTGCCATGCCTCTTCTGGATGTCTCAGTTATTTCCCTTTAACTCAACTCTCCAAGTTGACATGGCCCAGTGGATAAAGATGTTGGTTAGACCCAGTGACTAGACCCAAAGAGTTGTGAGGTCAATACCAGGCCACAGCAGCAGTGAACCAAAACTTGGAAAGTTGAGCTAAAGAGAAATAACAGAGACATCTGGAAGAGGCATGGCATGTGGAACTAGAACAATCTACCCAGGTGGACGATATAAATTGTTCGGTTTGAAATTCCAATCACCTGAGAAAGGCCAGAGTGTAAACGAATAAAATGTGGTGAATATGGCAATGAAGATGAGGATAACAGTCTGAGTAAAGTAAATAATGCAAGCAGTTGTGAATAGTGAAACAAGATCTTTTTTTCAAAACTACAACCCATCAGTCCATATACAAAAATATTCTGTATATATTTTTTCAGCTTCTTATCTTTCCCTTGATGTTGTGGCGATTCAGCCAAATGGACACTTGCTCTTTGTTGATCCACCTCCTCAAAAAAGTATGGACATTACTTTTGTTGCTCCAGAAATCCACAGACAAGAAAAAATAACAGAGAAGGTTTGCATTTTTGATGTTTTACAACAAATTGATTTTATTTACGTTATTTGTATGTGGACTATTGTCCTCATCATTTTTTATGATTACTACATTTCGGCTGTTGTGTTCTCCAGCTTTCGTCATATGCTTTTTGACATGAGTAACTGGCAGGAGATTTCAATCTGAACCCTTTATTTAATCTACAAAGATAGGTTTTCACTGTCCATGTCAGTTCTTATTTAGTACTGCTCGGTTATTGCTTGCCCCATTTACACTGATTCCAGGTCTGCACTGCCCAGTCCAGGGATTGAACTCAAGATTATTATGTCACCAAATTCACAAACTAATGCTTTAATCTACTAGGTGAGGAACTACTTACTTAAAATGTAAAAAAATAAACTTACTTTTATTGGATGTTTATTATTTATCAACTTATTTCAAAGTTCAAGTGGACATTAAGTGATCTATCCTTACCCATATATAATGAACACATTCTTAAATTTACAAATGTTCCATTAGACACTTTATACGGATGACCAAAAATGACAAGAATATATTCCCAACATTAAAACAAAATTATATGACAGGCAAAACTGTAAATAAGAAAATAAAACTTCCAAATGGTACTTTCTGTTTCTTATGAAACATTGTTCCCTGACCAAGACAATTTTTTGAGACAGACATTTTCAAGACTGTTCTCCCTGTGTGATACCGCATCGTTCAGTTTCTTTACTGTGTCAACACCGAACACAACCCTTGCCCAAGCTTTCCACTGACTAAGCTATCATCAGCCGCACATTGCATTCTGACTCTTGATCTCATCAGTGTGCATGTCAGTGTATTCAAGACTGTTCTCTCTGTGTGATATCCCACCATTTAGTTTCTATACTGTGTCAGCACAGAATACAACCCTCCCCAAGCTTTCCACTGGCTGGGCAATGATCATCCCCACATTGCATTCTGACTTTTGATGTCATCAGTGTGCACTGAAAACTGGGAAAGGGTCTGCTGCATGCTCACAAGGTAACACAATAAAAGCCAAATGCCAAGTTCAGAAATAGGAATGTGAACCCTTTTTCCCCATTTTATTTGTAGATCTTTTATTCAGGTCCTCACCTGCTCATCCAGGTTAGTAGGTAGGTGATACTTTGAACAAATTCTGCTACGTCAGCTCTTCCCCCACCAATTTCTCACCCATCTACCCATCTAGACATCGTTGCTGGCAATAAAAATGGAGGCTTCAGGATCACATGACGGACATGTCCATCTCACACCAATGGTGGGCCAGTCTGTCTCCCTGATCCCAAGCATGACTGTTAATACAGACCAGCACCTGGATGTTCCCTATTTCCGGTTTTGTTGCCACTTGATCTCTAGAAACCCCTCATCGACCCCTTTATTTCTCATTCATTTTTGGTTAAAATGGATAAAACCACTTCTTCCCCTTTTACAGGGTGTGAAGAGTAAAATGTTGCCATTTTATATTTTTAATTTTGTGCATGAGAATTGTTTATTTTTGATTTTGCTGACTGCACAGTATAGTAGGGTCATTTGGGCAACGTCTGTGAGAAAAAGAGCGCCATGACACAATTCACTCTGCCAGAAATTTGGAAATGACATGCTGTTCTGAAGCACCAGAAGCTCCAATATGAACATTTCAGAATGTTTGGGTATCAATCTGAGGACAGTGCAGAGGGTTCAAAAAGAGTTGGATGAGTTTAATGGTGATTATAAAGGTACAGCAGCTCAGAAAACTCACTCTGATCGTTCTGATAAGAAAAGAACTCCTGAATTTGTTAGTGAAGGCCTCAGACTCAACATGGAGGCCTACATCAAGTGCTTCCCTGGATCAAGAGGGTAGCTGCTAGAAGACTCTGTGTCTGGCAACAGCACTCTGCACCATGCCATAAAAGCAGAAGAATCCAGTCATGGCTGTCAGAAAATTTCTGCGACCACATCACCCCTTACATCTGACCACCTAAGACATCAGTCCCCTTGATTATTATGTGTGGGGCACAGTTGAGAGAGAGACCAACAAAACTGCTTGTAATACCAAAGATGAACTGGAGGCAAGGATTATGGCAGCATTCACCAACTTAAACAAGGAGACTGTCCAGAAGAGTTGCAGGAGATTCTGAAGTTGTTTGGAGGCCATGGTTGAAGCCAATGGCGATTTTATTGAATAAATTTACTCTTTAATATTTCAAGATATTTTTGTGTCATTTTGTTCAATATATCTGTTAAAATGAGATGTCAGTGTTATTTTCATTTTTGTGCAATTTAAATGACAATTTATCCATTGCAACAAGTATGTGGATATCCATAGTACCACAATTGAACATAAACCCATTGTTATGATGTTGATTTGGGGTTAGTAGAGACAAACGCCAAATAACACGTAACAATAAAAAGGGTTTTAATAGGTTGGTAAATAGGTACAGAAATCGCCTGAGTAGTCAATAACTAGCTCAGCTAAGAACTTCTGTCTTCTGATATGCCACTATTTAACGTCTTTGTTCGCAGACAAGTTCATCTTCAAGAGGGGTGGTAGGTTTCCGAAACAACACCCATAAACCAGGCTCTTCTCAGTTTTATTCACACTGATGTCAATGGCAATCAAACCACACAAGCTGATCAGTCAGTGAAGAACTGTTTATAGAACCCATGCAGATGTTTACTTGCCTTCAATTGAAATGGAATATAGCACTTTTATTTAAGTGAGAATCCCACCAAAGCATGAAGCTAGAAACAAAATTTCCCAACTCCATGAATATGTCTTATCGTTTCTGTTTTAATTGAAAAGGGGAGGTACTGCTTGGTGGACTGAGGACCCTAGAGCAGATGGGTATTATACTTATTATGATCCCCGCTCCTAGTTTTTAGGCTTTTAATGTTCTAAATTTATATAAATATCCAGAAAATTGGAATCATAAATTGAGCAACTATTTTTTTTTCTTTTAAGCAAATATTTCTAGTTTTAATTTTTCTGAAAATATTTTGGTTGCAGACTGGAGTCTATGGACTTGGAATGGTTTTATGTCTGGCAGCAGGTTGGAAGAAATCAGGTCCAGTTGCTAATCTTGGAATGTCAGACATTATGAAAGACCTTCTGGAGGACATGATTTCCTCTGAAGCAAACCATAGACCAACAACTAATTGTATATATGAGGTAATGATCACAACATTTATTTTCATTTTCTTGAAATGTATACAGATATACTTATATATCTGTTTATATTTATAGACATATATGTTTCATAGACTGAAAAGGCATGTAAACAGTGCAGACCATCCATCTTCAGATATTGTGGACTGGTGCTACACAGTCACAAATGACTGTACCAGATAACAGAACCTGAGGACTTTCAACAAGAGCAACAACTAAAATGGATAGCACATGTAACTCAAAGAGAAAATAATGATATAATCAAGATGTTGATATTCCACACGACTTCAAACAAAAGGTTAGGAAGGAAGGAATACCGGAAAGGTTAATAACAACTACTTGTCTTGAGAAACCAATTTTTCTGAAAATGTGTCTTCTCATGTATTCAGTTTCTGAAAATATTTTTATTGTTTTTATTTACATGTGGACTATTGTCCTCATCTTTGTTGTTGTTACCACAACATTTAGGTCGCTGTGCCTTCTGCCTTCATCAGGTGTATTTGATCTGAGAAATCTATAGGGAATTAAATAATGGGCTCAGTTTGGAGTTCTATGTAGGTTATTTGGATCAACGTATACCTGATGAAGTTCAGAGGACACAGTGGCCGAAACGTTATAATAACAGCAAAGATGAGGGCAATAGTCTGCATCTAAATAGTGTAAATTATAATTCCGCATCCCAAATATACTGATAACTCTTCATCCGAAATATAATGATAACTCCTGCTTCCCCAAAATTATGACAACTCCTCCTTCCCCAAAATTATGACAACTCCTCCTTCCCCAAAATTATGATAACTCAAAATTAAAAAAAAAATTTTTTTGGTAAAAATGTAAAGTGTTCATCTTTTTTAATTTGTTTTCATTTTTGTGTTTCTTTTTTGATTCTAATTTCAGTTGTGTGAAGCACATGAGAAAAGCGCTTTATACTCTTCACAGAATATCTGCCAAAGTTTATATGAAGAATGTGTTCAAAATTTACTGGTAAGTAGAAATATCTGAAATGTTGATGGCTGCCTTGATGGTACCAAACATACAATGTTACCAAATCTACTTTCCTTAAACTTTTAGTGTTCAGACATGGTTGCAAAATTGGACAAAAATCAGTACAAATTGGTAAGTTATAAATTGTACATTCTTCCAATGTATAAGCAAATATTGTATATTTTCCTTGTATATTATAGATAAAAACAAAACTTATTAATTTGATCAACTTTGTTACTAATACAGATTACTTCAGTACTTATATAAATGTAAAACAATCTTATTTTGATTAATTGTGTTTCTTAGAGTGATTATTTAGAATTTATGTGATGAGCCCAAATGAAAGAAATGCCCAGAAAATGCATTTTTTTTCTTTTCAAGGTTTGTAATTACAGTTACTTGTCATTATGTGTTTATTTGAATTTTCTTTAAATAAATTTTTCTTTCTAGAATTTTATGAATATAAAAATTTCTTTTCATATTTATTCATTTATAAAATGGTAAATAATAAACATCAAAATTGATTCACATCTTTTTATAATCTTGCAAATATAAAATTATTCTTGTAAATAAGCAATCTAATAAATAAATGTGATTAATGTTTTTTGTCAATTTTCAAAAATAAAGAAAATACATACATCATCATTCATATGTTTGGGTTTTAAAAGCAATAAACATTGTCGAGGGCATCAAAAGTGTAAACAGTAATTTTTTTTTGTATATATATATATATATATATATATATATATATATAGGCATGTGGCCGAGTAGTTAGAATATTTGCTTTCTAACCATGAGACCTGGGTTCAAACCTCATCATGGTCAATTTGTCAGGAAGGAGACTTCCTGATGTTATCATTCTGGAGTGGGGACGATCCGAACGTGCGGCAACTTTGGAAAATGCCTGAAAACAATACCATGGGTTGACCCAAGCCTTGTGAGTGAAATTCGGTAGGCGGAAGACTTGGGGCCGTCGATAGCTGTGCTAACACAAAGTTACAAGTCATTGTGACTGAGCATTTGAGTGTGCTGGTGTTGTTCAGATTGTTGATCATTCTAGGTAACATGCTCTCTCTTCCAGAAACTGTAACTAAGGTTTGCTCAGCATAGTTGCAGTAGAAACCACAGGTGGGCTCTGTGGGTGTTGAACAAACACAAATGTGCCTGAGTGACAGTCTGCAATAGGTATTAGCTAGCCACCCTAGTAGGTGGGTATCCTCAAATGTGAGTGGCCAGCTATATATATATATATATATATATATATATATATATATATATATGAAAAATTTCTCAGCATTAACCTGTAGAAAAAGAAAATATTTATAAATGTAAAAGACAAAAGGAAAATGGTAATATTAGCTGACACTTTTCGTCCAATGTGGACTTTTTCAAGGCAAAAATGAAATGAATTTATTAAAACAAAGTAACTAATAACAAAACAAAATGTCCTTTGCAACTGGAAGAATTTAGAAATTTAGTTGACAATATAAATATAATGATGTTTTCTAAGTTCTTCTAGTTGCAAAGGACATTTTGTTTTGTTATTAGTTACTTTGTTTTAATAAATTCATTTCGTTTTTGCTTTGAAAAAAGTCCAAATTGGACAAAAACGCAATTAGACTAATATTACAGTTTTCCTATTCTCTTTACATATATATATATATATATATATATATATATATATAATATATATAGAAAATAGGGAGGAACTGGTTAGGTAAATAATCCAAAGTCCCTTAGTATGCCCTTTGTGCCTCCATGAAAATTGCACATCATTAAACTTCAAATTAATAATAATCTATTAAATAATAGACACGAGTTAACGGTTTTTGTAGGCATCATCAGATTTTTGGTTTGAATTATTAGATAAAAAAAAAAAAAAAAAAAATATATAACTTGTTTAACAAATAGCCCAATCATCAGATTCATAGTAGGAATAATTAACTACAAACATGCATACTAAAACATGCATACTACATAACACACTTCATAATCCATAGCCTAAATTAGTAGTTTAAATACCTTTACATATAAGATAACCCTTTATGAAGTCGTCAAAAAAACAAACGTTACGAAAGTTTTTTTTTTTTTTTTATATGCACAATTCCTTTCATAATAAAATAAAATAAATAAATAAATCTCCATAGACAAGCAAACTAGACGATGGCCAATACATCTTCCGTTTCATTTTTTGACACCCCCACCTTTCCCCGACTTGACACCTTGAAAGTATCTCTATACCGCTACTTATTATAAACACCCTACACTCGCCTACCCAATTTAGACAATTCACCATAGCTGTTACCATGGGGATTTTGATTTCAATTTTAAAACAAGTAAATTTCAGATATACGTTATTCCAACAAAAATTTCGCTTGAGGATGGAACGGAGCCCATTTTACTTTCAACTCAATTTAATTTAAAGGATTATATTGAAGTTTTCGGCTCTAGTTTTGAAACATGAGACCTCTTATGTAGCGATTTGGAATCATATTTTTAAATAAATAATTATATATATATATATATATATATATATATATATGATGAAAACATACTTTTAAGTTATGCCACATTTATGAGTTAAAGTGCTCAATATTCGAGAGATAGTGTATGTAAAGGTGGACATTGAGGTCAACACCCAGTGGTGACTGCCTGTTTCATGCTTAAACACAGACATCAAAACATGGTCTGATGATTGTGTTTAAGCAAGAAACAGACGCTAGGTGTTGACCTCAATGTTCACTTATAGAAAGAAAACTCTGAATTCAAAACCTTCAGAGGGTCATTTGTGGTCCTTGTGGCATAGAGTACCCCAAGTCTCTGTATTCAGCTCTTCCAAAAAGTGTGGTGGGTTCTGCAAAAACCTTCATCACTATAATCAATTGAAAGGTGTGGGTTGTCTGGTTGTTGATTCTAAGAACTGAGCTGCTTGATGTCAAAAATGGCAGGAAAGTGTGTGTGTGTGTGTATATATATATATATATATCCTTAGCAATTAGAAGAATTTAGAAAATACTATTATATTCATATTTAACTGAAGCATTAATAATAACATAATCCGTAATAATATATTGCATGGAAAACGATGCATGATACTACCAACCAACTCCGTCACGTCCACTATCCAGAACAACCTATCCCATCTATATAATCTTAAAATAATAACAAACACTACCAAAACCATTATGGATATAATCAGATCCTCAAACACTAATAACAATAATACTTCTGAAGCAGGCATTTATAATATATAGGATTTATAGAAATAAAATTTGGGACTTAGCTGATTAATGTTATATTCAGCACCTCGAACCTAGGTTTTAGTAGATGAACTTTTGTTCAGTCCCCTCTTCAGGAGGTTTCAGAAATTTAATTGACTGTTGTTATACTCATTTTTTGTTATCTTTATACTGTTTGGTTTGTTTTGTTTTATGGCATATCAACACCAATGGGTTATTTAATGCCGACAACTTTTTTTTCCTGGTAATATTTTGTTTTGTCAAAACTCTATTTCTGGTAATATTATTTCCTCAAAAACTTATAGCTAGTGATATTATTTAAAAAAATATATTGATGGTAATTTTTTTTTAAAAAAAATATATTGCTGGTAATAGTTTTTTTTTTTTTCCTTGAAAAATTTATTTCTGGTAATAATTTTTTTTGCAAGTATTAAAACCTATTTTTAAACTTTCATAATGCTTTTTATCTTAGTTTTGGGGTTAACTATTTGCCCATAGCTGGGACCCTAACAGGTGCTACCACCCCAGGTCAGGGTGGACCTGGGAACACCAATAATTAAAAGGTGGTTCCATGCTCCTCAAAACCTCCTGAGCAGAGACCTTGCTGTTGCATGTAGTTTATTGTCTTACCCAGGACACGGATGTAGTTTATCATCATACCCAGGATGGTATCTTTATACTGTTTGGTGTAGTTAATTTATATGCTAGTTGGTATTCTATTATTATTGGTCTTAGGATGATTTTTTTTCTCTTGTCTGTGCAATTGTGTATGTGCATAATAATAATTATAATAATAAATACATGAAAGTTATGAGAATTTAACATATTGTCAAAAAGTACTCAATAGATAACAAGAGCTCTTATATTCAATAAATCAACAAAAGTTGAGTTGACATTTAATTGACAAATTAAAAGTTTTATGTCAAAATGTTCATGAAAATTTAAGTGTTGACATGTGTTTAACATAGAATAGATTTGAATTTGCAATTACCATTCAGAAAATAAAAAATAAAGTAAAAATAAAATCTATATCTATAATTCTCAAAATGTGTGTTTGTATGTGTGTGATTGGATGTTATTTATGCATTTCCACAGTTTTCATCTGATTTCGATGAAATTTTTTTTTGTTTGATAGATAATTCTTCAGTGCTGGTTTTGAGTCCAAATTGTTGGCGACAATGGCTCTCCACTACTTCCTGTCCATCATAACTCTCAGCAACGTTTTACTATTTACTATCTTTTCTTGGATATATATCTTTCATAAAAACTTTTTAATAAAAATAAATACTTTAAATTATTACAATAATATTATCTATATCTATAATTCTCAAAATGTGTTTGTGTGTGTGATTGGATGTTGTTTATGCATTTCCACAGTTTTCATCCAAACGCTTCTATGCACAAGGTTGATAATGATGATCGAAGAACTCAACGGTTGAGGAGAAATTCCTCTTCAACTGCTGCTGTGGGTGAGGCTGAAACAAGATTGAGAATGCAAAAACGGCCCTTTTCAGGGCCCCCCCCCATTTCAGATTGTCAAACCTTCACTCCACCCGCCTCCAATTTGGGGATGCGTCTTGGTTGCATCTAATTGTTGTTACTAATATTGATTTTTGGGTGGGCTGACTTTAAACTTAAGCTGCTCCAATTGAATGGCAATTCCCAATAATGTAAGACCCGGTCAAAGACAGATTATACTGCTAGTAAATTAATAAAATATACAATATATACAACTAAATATGCAATATATAAATATAAAATAGTTAAATTACAAATAAGATGAATAATCAATGTATTTATATCATGGTAAATATTTGTTATTGATATTTACAGAGTTTTAATTAACATGCAATAAAAAACAAAATCAATAGCATAAATATTTTCTACAAAAGCTAAATCTACATCAACTATAAACAAGATGAATCTTCACTTAGAAATATCATAAAGAAATACACTACTCCAGTCGACCCGAACAAGAAAATTAAATTATTTATTGCAAAAAATTTAATTTAATATTGATTCACTGATATAAGTCTTAAACCATGGCTGGTGGATTGAACCGAATTCATATCTTTCCCAAGGGTATTTGTGTGTAAGTGAATATAACGAACCCAACTGGAATTAGATCTTGGCTCTCTGCTTTTCAACTCCAAGAAATTATTCATTACACCAACTGCACATCCAAGTTTACCGTGCCTGGTATTATCAAGATGCCACTCATCTAGGTACTGACCAGGCTCGACGTTGCTTAACCTAGTCTGAATGTAAATAATATAAATAAACACAGTTATCTTCTGATTGATAAAAGATATGAAAACACACTATTGTCCTCATCTTTGTCACCATAATTATTACAACATTTCCGCCGTTGTATGATCCGGCCTTCTTCAGGTGGTTGGAATGTTGAACTGAACCCTTTATTTCACTCACTGGGGTAGACTGTTCTAGTTCCACATGCCAGTGAGTGAAATAAAGGGTTTAGTTTGACATTCCAACCACCTGAAGAAGGCCAGAGCATACAAGGCCCGAAACGTAATAAATATGGCGACAAGGTCTGTATAATGTACATAGTGTACATAATACCTCATTTCAGAAATATAGACAGATATGAAAACAGTTGAGAAGGTTTTAATATTCCAGAAAGTGTTTGTCAGAATTTCTTCATTTTTTCTCATGACACCCCTGTTTCCCATATTGCAAGCCTCTTGCTATGAAGAATTGTTTGGACTAGTATGGGTCTTCTGCACTAAGGGTTGTGAGTAGTTTCTCCTTTGGGTAGGTGTCTCAAAGGGAGATTTCTCCATTTGTCCCCATGAAGAATGAGAAATCTGTTTCTATGAGTTGCCAGGACTGGCACATGTCTTCTGCAGCAAGGATTGTAAATAGTCCTTTGAGCTGGCCTCAAAGGTAGTGGCCACTGAAAAGGAAAAATGAAAAAAAAGAGGCCGAATAGGGCTTGGCCAGTGTTTTTATGAATTTTTACTTCTAGTTGTTCCCTGATGATTACTTCTGTTCCTGCTACTGCTGACTTGATCAAAGTAAGGAAACCTCCACATGCCACAATAGCCAATGTTGATTTATTGGAGATATATATATATATATTTGTGTATTTAGGTAGCAATCCTTCTTTCAAGCACATTTCATTGAATACGATAGACAAGGTGCTTTTATTTAGTTTTTTATACAATTTTTCATTACTACTTTTCTAAGCTAATAGACCTGACTATAAAAATGTAAAAAAATTAAAAGAAGATGGTTAAATTTATAACCTGATGTTATTTTAAATATAGAATGCATAAATTAATCCCAATACTAATTTGCATTAACAAAAATAAATTGAGAACTTTCGTTTATTAGACATTGAATTGTGTCACCTGGTATCCTCCATAGCTTGCCTGACTTTTTGGCTAATCTGATGAATATATATATATATATATATATATATAAATAAATATGATGCATTTCATCCATTAGGATTTCATTGGACTAGAATTTATTGATGTAGCCACGTCTACACATGTGCATGAAATGAGAGACACAAGTAGTTTCAAAACTCATTTTGTGTGTCTGTGTGTGTGTAGTAGACGTGACAATATCAACAAAGCCTAGTCTGATGAAATCCTAACGGAAGAAACAAAAAATTTTCCAGTTGGTCATATTTTTCTAAATACTGTTTGTTGATATATAAAAAATTAGACAAAATTATATATATATATATATATATATATATAAATTTAATTAATATATGTATTTGGATAGCAACCTTTCTTTTAAACATCTTTTATTAAATATGGCAGACAAGTAAGATTTAATTAATTTTTTATTTAATTCTTCCAGCATCTTTACATTTTACTTTTTGGTAAGTGAATACAAAAATTTTCCATAATTTTCATTGTCCCAAGCACTTTCGGCCATTTTAAAGGGGGTTTTGTTTTTGGTATTGTTAACTTTTCCTCATGTTATGACTGTTTAAGTTGTATTTTATTTTTGTGTTGTTTTGAATAGGAGCATTTATTCTGAGCCTTTGCATGTTGAGAGTGGCTGGAATTTGCATAAGCATCTTTCTATTTTTAAAAAAAGCTTTTAACAGTTCATTTCCACTGTTAAATACATTAAGGTTGATAGAAGGAGAGAGATGTTTAATATACAGGTACTCTCTTATAGTGCCATATTTCCAGTAATGTATTTTATATAGAATTTTAGTGCTTTATATATATATAATTATAAATGAAGCATTACTTATGAATGGTTTTAATATATTGCAGGAAGACATGGGTGAAAGAGATGAAACTGGTCTCACAGGAAACTTGGGCAAAAATGATGATTCATTAAGTCCAGAACGAAAAGAGAATGAAAAAGAAATGTTGAATGAAAATGAAGAAAATTGTGTCAGTGCCTCAAATCAAAGGTCAGCCTTTACTGCTGTGGTTAACAAGCATTTGGAATTTCCAGAAGGAGAAAATTCTCAAACTATTCCAACTGTGTTAAGTTCTCCTGCCACTCATTTTAAGCCTATTATTCTAAACGAAAGCTGGGATCAAACACAAAAGGCTCAATCTGCGAAGGAGCAAATGCAGTGGAAGATCAAGGATGCAATAAACACAGACCCAGAAAAAAACCCACAAAAACCAATGCCATCTCTTGGGAAACGGTCAGGAAACACTACTGAAACATTTGTCAGTGCTAGTCGCCGTGTAGTCGAGAAACTGAGACAACTTGAAGAAGTCTACACGAAACAAACATCAAAAGGAAATTTGTCAAAGCCTAGCAACAAGCTTTCAGAATCTGGTATGAGTGGCTTTTTTAAAATTTTGTTTTGCTTTAAAATGTATGGATTTCTATAATGACTTCTACTGCAAAAAAAAAATTAAAATTAAGATTGAAGATAGTGTAATGCAGGCCAATGTGGTTATGTCTGGCCTGCTTTTTAGGAGATTCCTTCATTTGCTACATATCCCAATGAGGAGAGAGAAATCAGCTGTTATTACACAGCTATTTTATACCTACTTACAAAAGAATCAAATATTGTGTTGGATCATGCTTAAGGCAATATAGTGTTGAAACACCAGTTCCTGTATGATCACTGAAGTTAAGCAATGTTGATTCTGGTCAGTATCTAGATGAGGTGGTTCAACACCCTTTAAAATCTCCAATCTCCTGTTCAGAGGCCTTGCTACCGGATGTAGTTTATTGTCATACTCACAAATATGCTGGGTTTGAGAAGAAGATAATGATGAGTCCTTTTCTTTTATACTGCTGATTATTATGCCATCTGGCAGTGTTAAACAGAGTCCATTGGCAGACAAGGTGAGGTAATTCCAAAGCATAAACAAGAGAAGTGACCTATCTTATTGTCTAGTAAGAAATCCCAGCACACATTGGTGCATTTCATCTATAAACTGGGGAAGGAGAAGTATTTTGAAGTCATTCTCGTTGATTTATATAGAGGGTTTCAATGGGTTAATTGTTGCCATTTTATATCTTTAATTTTGTGCATATGTGTTGTTGTTTTTTGATTTTGTCAACTACACAGTATAGCAGGGTCAGTTGGGCACCATCTGTGATAAAGAGCGCCATGATGCAATTCACTTTGCCAGAAATTTGGAAATGGATGCTGTACTGCTTGGCATGCACACTGGAAACTCCAATATGAACATTTCAGAGTATTTGGGTGCCAGTTTGAGGAGAGTGCAGAGGATTTTGAAAGAATTGGATGAGTCTACTGGTGATCACAATGGTATTTGGAGTGATCACTATTGATGGTAACATTATGCCTCTACTCATTTTTCCACAGGGCCACAGACTCTACACACAGGCCTACATAAGTGCCTTAAGGAGGTAATGTTGCCCTTTGTCAAGAGGGTGGCTGCTGGAAGACCCTGTGTCTGGCAACAGCACTCTGCACCATGCTACATAAGAAGAAGAACCCAGTCATGGCTGTCAGATAACTTCTGCAACCATATCACCCCTTACATCTGGCCACCTAACTCCTCAGACTGCAACCTCTTTGATTATTATGTGTGGGATGCAATTGAACAAGAGCCCAACAAAACACCTTGCAACACCAAAGATGAATTGAAGGCAAAGATTATGGCAGCATTCATCAACTTAAACAAAAAGATTTCCAGGAGATTCCAAAGTCATCTGGATGCTGTGGTTGAAGCCAATGGTGATTTTATTGAATAAATTTACTCTTTAGTATTTCAATTATTTGCATTATTTTGGTAAATATATCTGTTAAAATGAGATGTCGGTGTTATTTTAATTTTTGCAGAATTTAAATGGCAATTGCAGCCTGTATAGTTTTAAAATTTACTTGTATTATTTTTCAGAGAAATCAGAATCTGCCACCAAAGACAAGCCCTCAATGCAAACAGAACAGGGTAAGGAAACATCTTATCTAACTATCCAAAGAGATCAGACATTAGGCAAAAAGGAAGTAGAAGAATTAGCAGAGATAATTTTGAACAAATTACAAGAAAAACAATCGACTTTTGGTCAGTTTTCGACTCTTGGGCTTTTTGGATGGAATGATCTCTCCTTAAATAACAGTCAGTCTAAATCTCAGGTTCCTTTAATGGTAATGCCAACCCAAAGAGTGATGACTGTTCCTTTTGTCAATGCACCTTATCCACAAATGATGAGCAATGGTCAGTGTGCTGAAGAAGTGCATATTAGTTCCAAATTTCCAGCTAAAGAACCATCTTGTCCCCATTGCTTATATAGTTCATCCCCTTCTGCTTCTCAATCAGAGACATCCAGCTGTCAGTCCGACCCTAACTGTTGTGACTCTTTGGAGGATGATGAAGAACCACGGGTATCTGTCGACAACTTCCAGGAGTTGCGGCACCATGCTGACTTTAAAAGATGTTCTTACAACCGTTGTTCCTTGTGTCTGTCTCATGGCCGTAGAGCCCAAGACTTGGTCCACAAGTTACGTTCCCGCCGAACGAAAAAACCCAAGGAGGTCAAGCAATCTAAATGTCACTGCCTTAACAATAAGAAATGGTCCTCCGAGGCATCTCTGCCAAGATCCCAGGAACAGTACCCTAAAGCAGAAACTTGGCCTGGGCATTTTGATATGACGCTCAAATCAGGTCAGTTTCATTGCAATAGTGAAGGTTGCCCAAGAAACAAAAAAGAATTTGAATTTCATTCACAGCCATTTCCACAGAACCAAAATCTGTCAAAGAATCAGCCAGAAAACATGTGCAATCAAGAAACATCTGGTTTTGAAACTTCCGATAAAAACTCTTTTCTTCGTTCTATCTCTGAACCAAATCATTCAAACGATAAGCGTTTATTGTATCATTCACCTCGTCATCAAAGCAAATCACTTGACTCTGAGGTGACACCACATCAAAAACATCTCTTCTATCATTGTGAATGCAGCACTTTCATAGACAATGACCAACAGGAGTTTTCTTCATCTTCCACCCCTAATCTGACTCCAGAAGAAATTCCTGTGTCCTCAAGCGATGACAACAAGATGCTTGGAATGCATGAAGTCATAATTTCTAAAGATCAGCTAAAGTTACAAAATGGCTGCCAATATAATTCTGAAAGAGGCTCCAATTCTTTGAAAGTTAAACAATTTGGTGACATTGCACAAGGTGCAGCTTACTCTAACAGTATTTCAAGTAAAGATGGACATTCATGCCTGTTATATGATTGTCACAAAAACTGTGAGGAAATCTGCTATAAATGTCCAAAAGAAAAGACGAGTTTACATTCGGAAAAAGGCAATTCCAATTCGCAGGAAGTTTTTTTGGAAACACTTTGCAACATTGAAACAATCAGTGAAGGAACCATTAAACAATTACACTTGATCTTCAAAATTATGAAGATCATTCAGCGTCATGTGGGAACCCATGATTTGGAGAGGAATCCTGATGAAAATTTTGTCATGGGTAAGTCTTGTCCTTTTTTTTTTTTTTTAAATTTATTTGAAGTTTAAATTTGGTTGATAAAGTTATTTCTTTTTTTTTTGTAACTAAAATGAAGACTTATTTACATTATTTGGACTGTTGTCCTCATCTATATTGTCATATTCATGTTTTGCCCATTCTATGCTCCATCCATCTTCAAGTGATATACATTGGAATTTCAAATCAAACCCTTTATTTCATCCACCAGGGTATATTGTTCTACTTCCACATGCCATGCCTTTTCTGGATATCTCAGTTTCACTTAATTCCCTTTAGTAACTCATTGCTCCAAGTTTATATTTTTTTTTTTGTTCACCTCTGCTGTGGTCAGGTATTGAATACAATATAGAAACCAGTAATATAGTGCTAGAGAAAAACAACAACAAAAATTGTAATATGAGCTCTGGTAAAAAAATGAAAACTGAGATAATAGGTTTGTAAGTTACAAAAATTCATTCACTGATGTCCCCAAGGACACATGGCCCAGTGGATAAAAGCATTCAAAGACGTAATCCAAAAGGGACTTGACCCAAAGAGTTGTGAGTTCAATAGGTGAACAAAAACTTGAAAAGTTGAGTTACTAAAGGGAAATAACTGAAAATGAGATATGGCATGTGGAACTAGAATAATCTACCTAATAATATTACTAATACAGGGTTCATTTCAAAATTCCAACATATATTAACTGAAGTAAGTAATTTAGTTGTTCCAACTTGAGCTTGACCATTTTAACTATTGTTATCATTACTTACCCTAACTTATTTCTGGATCATTACAATCACCATAAAAAAGAATAAATAGTGAGTAGTAGAAACCCAGGTTTTTGTATGCTTCTTCTTAGTTGTTTATCATATATGAACATGCACTGCACCTAAAATACACACAAGCATGGAACCATTTATCTTTTCCATAATGGAATGATTCATCAGCTACACTTTAAGGCCAGAACCAAACAATGACTGCAGTGTGGCACTGACTTGAGCTCCCTGGGGGGGGGGAGGTGAAGGCCAAGAATGATATGACTAAGGATAGGGTGGGGTCATAGGTTGGCAATTTTGAGGTGAGGTGCAAGTACACATATATATTTATAAGTTTAATATTTTTCCGTGCTTTGAATATTGCTGCCACATCTGGTCTGGTGCTCTTGTTATATATTTAGAGATTCTTGATAAAATCCAAAGAAGAATCTGCAATGTTATTGGTGCTGACCTGGCACCTCAGTTTCAGTCACTTTCCCACCACTGTAATACAGCTTCACTGTGCCTTTTCTATAAATAATTTCATGGTAATTGTTCTGATGAACTTTCCTCTATTGTATTCATTGTAAATATTCACTAGGGTTTCATTTTTACAGGTTGTTATTCCCCCACCCCAGACAAATTGTACATATGGTAACTAGTTAGGACTTCATAGAGAATCTGAGGTATTATGATGGCTGTATTAAGAGTGTGTTGTTTTAGTGCAAGGAATAGTGTGGTATGTTTGGGTTAGTATTTGTGGTTAGCTAGGTTTAATTATAAGACAGAAGACCAACCTTCTCTATCCCTCCTTTTGGCCTTGTGCCACATTTTTCTACCTTTACAAAATATTTTTTTTTCTATGGCAATATTTCTCAACGTGGACCATATGGCCCCCTTGGAGGCCATGAGATATTTTCAGGGGCCACAAGGTCAAGTTTGAAACGGGGGTGCACAGAAAATTTAGGATCCACAAAATATATATATGGTGTATTTTGTAATTAATAATTATTATTTAAAAAAAAAAATTAAATTTATTATTAATTTAAATATTAAATTACACTAAGCCATTTCATTAACATAAATGTTTATTTAATGTAATTCTTTCATCTGATCTATGCAAAATGGCCATTTTTAGTTTTCAATTTCTTAAAATTTAAAACTCATAATTTAAAGTTTAAATGAAGGCATTTTTTCACCAACTCTTCTTTCAATTTTGAAAAGCTAAATGTCCTCTACAAAGAGCTCCAAGGAAATGTTTTTCTTGCGAGGAGGCAATTAACACATTTAATGGGAAACTAAAGCTGTTCTGGTTGAACCTTGGGAGAGTGGCATTTGTACAGTTTCCTTCCTTAGCAAATATATCCACCAAGTTGCTTGATGATGATCTAGCAGTGTATGTTGATCATTTGAAGCAGTTGCATATTGATATGAAAACTCGTTTCTCTGATCGATTTCAAATGACAGTGCTGCACTGGTTTATGGATCCCTTCATTTGCTGATGCATCTGAAGTTGATATCACTCTACAAGAAAGTTTTATTGAACTTCAAAATAACAAAGCAGCACAAGTGAGGTTCAAGTATAGAGGATACCAGAAGCTGTGGATGAATGAAGTCATGCATAAGAATTAACCACTACTCTGGAAAGATGTGAAGTTGTTCTTACTCACTTTTTGCACATCTTATTTGGTTGAATCTGGTTTCAGTTGGATGATCCATCTGCTGTCAAAGACTCAAAATCGCCTTGACATAGAAAAAAAGAGGCAATTTAAATTTAGGTATGTTTTCACTAACTTCTCTTTCCATTTTGAAAAGTTCAATGTCCTGATTTCAAAGAGCTCCAAGGAAATGACTCCTCTCTGTTTTCCTGAAAGGAGGCAATTAATGCATTTAACAAGAAATTAAACCTGTTCTGGTTGAACCTTAGGAGATGGAAGTTTGCACAGTTTCCTTCCTTAGCAAATATATCCACCAAGCTGCTTCATGATGACCTAGCAGTGTATGGTGATCATTTGAAGCAGTTGTATAATGATTGATTCCAATTGACAGTGCTGCACTGGTTTGTGGATCCCTTCATTTGCTGATGCATCTGAAGTTGATATCACCCTAAAAGAAAGTTTTATTGAACTTCAAAATAACAAAGCAGCTCAAGTGAGGTTCAAGTATAGAGGATACCAGAAGCTGTGGATGAATGAAGTCATGCATAAGAATTAACCACTACTCTGGAAAGATGTGAAGTTGTTCTTACTCACTTTTTGCACATCTTATTTGGTTGAATCTGGTTTCAATTGGATGATCCATCTGCTGTCAAAAATTTGAGATCACCTTGATGTAGAAAAAAGAGGTGTTTTATATCTCTCTCTGACAGCTTTCAAGCCAAACATCGACAATTTGGCAGCCCTGCACCAGTCATAGGGATCCCATTGAAACCATACAAGATAGAGTTGATGGTACATGTATTTTTTTTGTTTTGTAAATAAATGAGTTTGTTCAAATAAAATATTTATCCAAATAATATTATTCTTTGATTTACAACTGGAATTGTGCTTTGATGCTATAGTACTATCCAAACTACAACCTTTAATATTCCTACTTCCGTAGATGTATCGAGGGACAGGGCAGGAGGGAAGATTAGAACTCAAGATGGCATGAGGGATCATAAAGACCTTGCATTGGATTGAAGGGGGCCACAACCTGAATAAGGTTGATAAATATTGCTCTCTGGTACCTAGACTCTATGAATTTAAGCATTGTATTAAATTGGCAGTAAGGTCTCATCAATTGACAAGTTGAATTGGCTAGATGTAACCATAAGTTCTTTGCTAACAATTTCTTTTCTTGCACTTCTCACTCGTGGAACTCTCATCTGGCTTCTTGCTTTTCCAGCCAACTTTGATCTCCAAAAGTTAAATACAGTGTGAATCATCTTGATTCCTCTTCTTTTATTGTTCACTCTCTTTTCACTCTCAGTAACCCCATGTTTCTTAGTGGTTTTATTGCCTTGCTTCGAGTGAAACGATTAAAAAAAATACACTCTACTTCAGTAGAAGAAACATATACACAAATGATAGAAAGTGTGCCACAAATATCAGAATAGGAAAAGTGTCTTCCAGAAACTAAGCAAAGTATTAAGATATAGGAAAATGCCCTTAGAAATAAGGAAAAGAGTGTTGTTAAATAGTATCTATTCTTCTTGTTGGACAATTTCCTCACAGATAAAGATGTAACTTGAAGCAACAGAAATGTGTTTCTACTAACAAATGTGATGGCCTGTACATGTGTGCAATGAGGAAGTTTTAAGGAAAATAAGAATTCCAAAGAATCTGCTGCCAACAATCAGAAAGAGAGAGCTGAAATTTCTGTGGCAATTAATGAAGAAAAAAAGGCTCAGAGAACTAAACACTCACATGCAAAAGAAGCAGAGGTAGACAGTGAGTCATCTACTTGACCAATTTATGTGAATGGATGGCAAAACAAGGACAAAAAGGGATTGTAAAAGTTACTTAGAACAACAAAAGACAGGAAGTTGTGGAGAACCATGATAGAATGTGGCATAAAAAAGATAAAGAAGAACAATTATTATGACACAGCAGCCAGAAAGAAAGTCATTTTTTTTTAAAGAGACGACATTCAGTAGTGTGGCAATTGTCTGTGTGCAGTTGAGATATTAAACAGAACCTTGTATGTAGTTTTGGTATCTTTTCATCTGTGTCTTTCTTTATTCAAATGGACATCAGTCTGGAGTCAAGATGTTTGTACAACTTGTGTGAAAACAGCTGTACAGGAGTTGGCTGAAAAGTTCAAAGACTGACCAAGAAACTCCTGGAATCTGAACAAGTGAAGTTTATTTTTCGATATAGCTCCCCTCCCCTTGCAATCCACACAATTCTTCCATCACTGATGCAGTGTTTGGATCACATTGATGAAGAAGCTTCTATCTTGTTGTTAAAAAAAAAAGTCATCAATAGCAGATAAGATGTCATCATCACTGCAATACTGGTTCCAGTGTTTTTCATATTGAAGAACAGATGATAGTTAGACGAGGCCAAATCACTCATGCAGAGCAGCCATTAATACCAAGGACATGAACTCTTTTATCAGTTTTCCTGCCATTTAGTCTTGCAGGTGGGCATAGTACTCTCCATTGATTGTGTGACCTTTTTGAAGAATGAACACAATGCCTTTTGCATCCCAAAAAGCTGAGGCCATCATCTTCCCTGCAGATGAAACAACCTTGGCCTTCTTTGGAACAGGTAAGGAGAGATGTTTCTCTTACACGTGGTTGACTTCTCCACACATTTCCCCAGTAACCCTGACAGACACGCTTCTCTTTTCAATCTCTTTTTTTTATCACTATCCCTGACTCTTGTCGTACTACACAGCTCAGCCGTCTTGGCAACTTTAATCATGTAGTAGTGTCTGTAAACATCTCCTTCCGCTCCGCCACCAGCCAAGAATCTCCTACTAACAGAACATCCTTCTGTTAACAACAAGCAGATTGGGACTTGTTCCATGATTTCCTTTGTGATGTCCTATGGAAAGAAGTTTTTTAATCATCCTGCTCAAAAATGCACATCTGAGGTCTCCTCCTGGGCGAAAGTTGGCATTGATGCTTTTATTCCATCAAGGAAATACCAAGTTAAACTGCATTCATCTCCTTGGTTCTCACATGCATACTCAGCTGCAACAGCCCACAGGAATCACTTCTTCCGTCTGTACAAGAGCGACATGTCTGATTGCAACAGAAATCTCTTTGTCTCTGCTTGTAACGAGTGCAATCGTGTCCTCAATGAAGCAAAGTTACTGTTTGATGTTAGAATGAAACAATGTATAATGTCTTGCACGTTTGGTTCCAGAGATTATTGGCATCTCTGCAAGTGTGTGCTGAACAACAGCAAATTCTCAATCCCTTCCCTATTCAATCAATTCAAAGTCCTACAGCAGATAAGGTTGAATGCTTTGGTCAGAAATTTTCTTCCAACTCAACATTTGACTCATCTGGAGTACCCACACATGATTTCCCTCACTTAGAACTGAGGCTCTACTGAGTGATATGCACATAACCCCCTCACTGGTCTCAGACATCATTTCTAATTTAGATTTCCATAAGGCAAGCAGAGGTGATGAGATTCCAGCTGTTGTCCTAAAGAAATGTGCTCCCAAGATGGCTCCAGTTCTCTCCAAACTCTACAACTATTGTCTTGCTGCTTCCTGCTTTCTAGCTTGTTGGAAGTACTCCTCTGTAGTTCCTGTTTTTATGAACTCTGGAGAACCTTCTGACCCTTCTAACCATCACCCTATTAGCTTCCTATAACTTTTTGGCAATGTATTCAAGGCTTTAATCTATGCTGAAGTGGTTAAGCATCTTAACCTCTCACGACCTACTCTCTGACAAACAATATGGATTACATTTTGCCAATTCTACAGCTGATGTGCTTACGGCCATCACTGAATATGTATATCAAGCTCTTGATAATAATGGTGAAACTCGTGCTGTGGCTCTAGATATCTCAAAGGCATTTGACAGCGTTTGGCATGCTGCTCTTCTATGTAAGCTTCAGGGCTATGGTATTATAGGACAAGTGTTTGATTTAATTCAATCATACTTATCAAATCATGAAATGAAGGACATTCTGAATGGGCTCGCTTCCAGATCCTTTCACATGAATGTGGGTGTCTCTCAAGGATCTATACTGGGTCCTATGCTGTTTCTGATCTCCCTGATGCCATCAGCTCCCAACTAGGCATTTATGCAAGTGACACTACCATTTACTCCTGTCTCAATAGCAAATCCGTCAGAGCTGACAAAGTTAACCTGGCTGCGGCAAAGGACCTCCAATCAGTGGTTAACTAGGGCAGAAAATGGCTTGTAAATTTTAATGCCTCCAAATCTAAACTGCTCTCATTTAACTACCACAGAGAAACTCCCCTGCCCACCATCAGCATGCCTGATGCTTGACTCCTGGAGAGTCTCTCACTGCACCTTCTTGGCCTCATGGTTTCAACTGACTTGAAGTGTAACAACTATATTGAATCAATAGCTGCATCTACTGCAAGAAAAGTTGGTTTGTTGTATTGTGCCAAAAGTTTTTCTCGCCAGAGTTCATCTTACACATTCATAAATCTACCATTCGTCCATGCATTGAATATTGTTGCCATATCTGGTCTGGTGCCCCTGCTGCTTCTCTTGAGGTTCTTGACAAAATCCAAAGAAGGATCTGCAATGTAATCAATCCTGACTTGGCATCTTGTCTTCAGTTACTTTCTCACAGACGTGATGTAGCTTCCCTCTGTCTTTTCTACAAATATTTTTTTTGGCAACTGCACTGACAAGCTTTTTTCCCTGGTGCCTCAACTACATGAATTTAAGCATGCTACTAGATTGATATCTAGGTTCTGCCCTTTTATTGTTGAAATAGTTAAATATAACCACCACTTCTACTCCAACAGTTTCTTTTCTTGCACTTCCAGACAGTGAAACTCCCTTCCTCTTGCTTCCCTGAAAACTACAATCTTCAAAAATTTAAATGCAATGTCAATCATCATCTTCTGTTGTCTTGAACTCCATTCATCTTTTATCCTTTCCTCAATCCTCCCTATACCCAGTCTTTTCTCTCACTTACACTCTAAACCTCTATGTACTAGTGGCACTCATGCTTTGCTTGGGGTGAAATGATTAAATATATATATTAAAAAGAAGAGAGATACCGCAAACGTTTTTGGTTGTAACGTGGATTTTTTATGCTAAAGCATAATATTTTTTTAAAAAAAAATCCAACCAAATTTTTTAAAAAATATTATGCTTTAGCATAATATTAAAAAAAAATCCACATTACAACCAAAAACGTTTTGCGGTTTCTCTCTTCTTTTTAATATACACACTTTTCTCTTGTTGGAACTACTATAACCTCTTCCTTTTATTTATATATATATATATAATATATATATATATATATATATATATATATATATATATATTTATTTGAAACTTGTGAATGGTATAGAGAAAAAGATATTAAATGATTCACATAATCATATCAGTTGATTCCCTGACATAAATCATTTTGAACATGACTGGGTCATTTTGGATCAGCAAGTAAAGAAAATATCCAGAGAAACCTACTATGAAAGATGACTTTTCTTTTTCCATTCAATACTGATTGGTATGGCATAACCCATAAAAGAAGATAGCAGAACTAATAAACGTTTTGCAAGTTGACCAAATATCAATTTGCATAACATTCCTAAAGTTCTTTACATAGTGGAATACTATTGTTTAATAATACAGGTGTTAATTGGTTTTTGGGGAGATACAGGTGTTGATTTAGGTTTTAATACTGCAGGTGTTGATTGATTTTTTTTCTTTTAGATATAGGTGTCAATTTATTGCTTAGAAGTGCAGATGTGGATTGAATTTTTTGGTGGGAAAATAGGTAGTGAATTATTTTTTGTGGGGAGGGAACAGGCAGGACTGGCAGATTTTACCCCTGAAATCACTGACTGGGGATAGCCCACTGCATTTTTTGTGGCCTCTTCCATTTTATTTTCAGTATTGTTTCATGGCCATCCATCATTTTTTTAATTATTTTTAAACTAACGTTACATTGTCAGTCATTAACTAACAATATACATTGTTGTAACTTGTTGGAACTGCAAGTGTAGATTTATTTTTGCATTTATGATTTTTTTCTTTATGTGAGTATTTTTTTAAATTTTTATGTCATTATAAAAAGATTTTTTCATATTTGATGAAATTTATTGAGTAATTTTCTTTATTTTGTCATGATTTAATATTACAATTTAAATTTTTAAGAAATTTAATTAGAATTATCTTTTTGTAATGTGTGTAAACCTGATAAAATATTTGACTTCAGTTTTGAAAATATTAGCTGTGTGTATAAGTCTCCAGTGAAAAAACTATCTTTTAGCTTTTAATTTAAAAAGAAAGAACATGTTGATAATGTTTCCTCATTGAATCTTTTCTTCTTCAAGGTGCAGGAATTGCCAGTCTTAAAGGTTTATGCTGGGAAAAATTTCAAAATACTTTAACAACAATCTACCCGAATCATGAATGGAGTGAAAAGTGCCAGCAGGAAATTTTTGCCATTATCAATTACACTATGGAAGTCAAGTAATGACATTTTTTTACTTTTTATTTTTCTATAGATTTTCTGAATGATTCAGTTTCTATTATCTTTGGCCTTCCTGAATTTTTGCAGATAATCTACTTTCATTATTTCATAAATTTTATGAAGTATCACTTAAGTGACCATTTTTGATTTTAGAAGAAATGAAAAAGAGGAAATTGATGCAATACAAAAATGAACAAAAAATATATGGCATCTTATGGGCATTCAAAATAGTAAAAAAGATTTATGTTATCAAAATTATTTTAAAATTCTACTTGTCCCTCTGTAAGCACATGCATTACACCCTGCATTACCTCCAGGGGAAGGGCATAATGTAGTAATTGTTATCAGCTCTGATTGAGGAATCGGTGAGCTGAGTTCATTACATTCACTTACATGCTAATACCCTTGGGAAAGGTATGAATCTATCTCTTCTCCCCCCAGCTATAGGTAAAATAGCAAGACAGACTGGGTCCCACTCTAGGAGTAGGACAAAACCATATATAGCCTTGGAAAAATGAAAAGGATCATGGATTTTACAATGACTCTATGATCCTGACTGCAGTGTGGGGGTGTGGTATGGAGGAGGGGGGGCCTTGCTTCCTTGTTTGTGTGTGTGTGTGTGTGTGTGTGTGTGTGGGAGAGAGAGAGAGAGAGAGTAAGAACAGTTGCTTAATTACATTTGTAGCAGGACAGTGTCTATGACTGAGTCATATTAGTGCATGAATTATTGTTCGGTGTCTTGAGGTATTAAAAGACTTGGTAACTATGAGCGAAGGAGTTGTTATATTAGATGGAGAAAAATATGGGAGAGTGGCTAATAGGGCTGAAATCTGATGAAAAAAGTTTGGGTTAAAAATATTAATTTGAACCTTTAAAATACTATATGTTGATCATGAGGAAGGCATCGGATGGATTTGAACCTAAAATAAATCAAGATTCAGTAAAATCAAGTCTCATGGAGATACTGCACCTAGCTCCACAAATTTGAGGTAGTCATAATAATGTGATTAATGTTTTACTAAAATTCTGCAAAACCCAGATGGATTTAAGGAATGTTTATTTATTAATTGATTGATTCATTCATTTTTATGGCTTATCAACCCATTGCAGGTTATTTAAAGACTGAAAATATTTTTAGAATCTAAGAATTTTTTTTGGAGATAACAATAGTTTAGTGATACAAGTTTTACTAATTAACCCATAAAATAGGGGAGAAGAGATAGATTCATAACTGACTAGAATTTGATAAACAAGAAATTATATTGTGTCTATAAATTGGGGGATCAATTCTATATTGCAATCAATATATAAAATAATCTCTCACTTTGTGGCCACTATAGTTTCTATTCATATAATTATTCCAGAGAAAGTAAATAAATCTAAAAGACATGCCTGTGTAGCTAATCAATATTTCATTGATTGATTGATTCATTTTCTATGGCTTACCAATAACCCTTTGTAGGTTATTTAAAGCCAGAAAATATTTTCAAAGAATTTTTTTTCAAGATAACAATGGTTTAGTGATACAAGTTTTTTAATTAACCCATAGCAAATGGAGAAAAGGTGGAATCATATTTTTCCCAATGGTATTTGCATGTAAATTAATTTATAGTTGAATTAGCTAGATGTAACTGTAAGTTCTATGCTAACACATTTTTTTCTCACACTTATCACTTGTGGAACACCCTTCCGGCTCCATGCTTTCTATCCGATTTTAGTCTGCAAAAATTGAAATGCAATGTCAATTGCTATCTATTATTCTCCTAATCGCTCTTCTTTTGTTCTTGCTCCTTTTTGATGTTATATACTGCCCACAGTCACCGGGCAAATCCGTGGTCAATCTCACCCTGCCCACATTGTGTTTGTTTTAGAACACAAGGTTGGTGAAGGCCAAGTAGTATACCCAATGTCACTGATCCGGCAGCTTTGGCGAGATGATCCCACAAGGATCAAAGTAAGAGACAGCAGTGTAACACAACAATCAAAGGTTCATACAATGAACGTTCTACTCACTAAATTAACAACATGCAGCTTTTCAGCATCTTCCTTCTTAATGTCCCATGACACTATGTTTAGCAATGCTCGGTAAACTGGTACAAGGCTGAAATCTGATTTCTTACATTCTGTGATTTCTTCAGGCTGACCTTCCAACCTTCTGGTTGCATCTGGTAGTCTAGAATAAGGCTGGAGTCTAAGTTCTTTCTGCAGAAGTTGTGTGGGGTTTGACAAAGTGGGTCTTGAAGTAACTGGCAATGCGGCTCTTTCTCAGACATCACCTCGAACTGTCTGGTTCATTCTTCTCTGTCTTTTGCTTCACTTATCTGTATTTATGGACCCTCATGCAAAGCTGGCGCAATAAGATTCCTCACCAATAGAAATTTTGGATGATAATTGAATTTAGTAATTTGGGATAGACCATGCCTAATCTCTGGGGACAGGTTTGACCAGGCAACAAAGAGAGAAGTAAAAGACCCAGATAGAATTTCAAAGAAGGTAGAGGAATTGCCTGCACTCTTCAGGCAGTGATTGTGAGAAGCAACCACACAAGAGGGAAGGAGTTGGGTGGATCAATATTCTGCCACCACCACTCTTTGGGCGAGGGATCTCCCCAAATTTGATAAGGCAATCCATTTCCCAAGACCAGACAACAAAAGGCTCTGTATAGATGTTGGGATTTCCCAGTGAACCCTCAACCACCTTATACCCCGCCCCAGCTTAGCGCAAGGGCCTATAAATGCAGAAATAGTTTTACAAAGTGGGCTTCTGTGTGAATGCCTAATTAATCAAAGTCTCCATGGAACTGTTACTCTTATAGGCACAGGCAGAGAGATCAGAAACTTGAAACTGGAGAGCAGTTGAGACAGCAGTTGGAGATGCAGAGACAAACAACAGGCAGAGAGAGACGTGGAGGGTTGCACTTGGCAGCTTAGGGATAAAAATGCTGTCTGTTTTTGCCAAATTTTCTAGCTGCAGTGAAGTTGGCAACCCACGTGCATTTCACCCATTCAGTGCCTAAAGGGAAGAATAGAAATTATTGAAGTTGAACATCATGAGTGTGATGTTTGTAGCTTTTATATTATTCTCACCATTAATAAATTGGGGATAGCTTCCGCAAGAGAATTCCTGCCTTTTTGGAAAATTGTCTGAATTAAGGAAGTCGTTGAGATCGATACATGATGGAATTCATCACCCAAAATCAAAGAATTATCACCCAAAATTATCACCCAAAATCAAAGAATTATCACCCAAAATTATAGGATTATCACCCAAAATTAAAGAATTATCACCCAAAATTATCACCCAAAATCAAAGTCATGGTCTATTTAGGTTAATTTTCCACCCCAGTATATACATGACATAAACGAGGATTTACATACGGTGGTCGAGGAGATAAATGATGGGACGAGCCACGCACAATTCATTCAGCCTTTACCAAACTAGGGACTGTGATTAATGGTTAAAATTTAAGTTGGACATACAGGCACCAAGGCACAGCCACTCCGGTGTCATATTTGTCACCAGTAACTAACTCAGAGTGTTGTATTTTGTATAGTGATCACAACCATACAATATACAATTCTACTCCCACACCTCGGTGTTATATTTCAGATAAATAATAGACCTGACATTACCACAGATATATAGCAGACTATTCCATTTTGATTGCAAGGAAATAATGGAAGAACAAAAAAAAAAGCATATGTCATAGAAAGAAAAAGAAGATACAGGAGGTGAAATGCTCTCATGCATTTAACATCTGCTTTATAGAAATAGAAAACAGTTTTGAATCTTTTTGTTTGTATCCTCTTATTTCTTCAAATAATGATCTGCATTCATACATATGGTTATTTCAATATTTTGTAAAAGTTGTTAAACTCAAATATTTAACAATGCAATAGGGGAATTTTGACAGGTATTTTATGGTCATGGAGCTCAAAAGAAGAGTAGTCAATCATTAACTTATGAATTATAATTCATTAGAAAATTCAAATAGGAAATCTGAAATTTTCATGGGCATTGCTAGTTTTAAATAATTGTATAAATAATAATAATAATAATTTTAGATAATTGTGTAAATTAGAGTCCACAAACCCTGGCCCCTGGGCCATATCCTGCTCACAAAGGAGTTTTGTCTGGTCACCAACTTAACACCTGGACAACAATTAACTAATTAATTTGTGGAGCAAGTGGCAGAAAAATATCAGTTGAAGTTAATCGACTTATAATGAGACAATTTTTTATAATCAAAATTTAATTCTGAATCCACTGCTGACTTCAACTAGAAAAATATTTTGCAAAGTGGAAAATATAAAAGCCTATTGAATAATGCAAAAAATTTGGAAGTATATATGCTTGTGAAGAACTTTTCTCAAAAATGAAATATACTAAAAGTTGTTCTACTAAGAAATATACTGAAAGAATATAATCTACTAAAAGAACAAGGTTTGGTGATGACCACCTTGATGTCATCAACAAATATTTCACCTGATGTGGAGAAGTTATTGAACAATAAGCAGAAACAAGAGTCTCTTAGGAGATATGTGGTCATGCCGACTGATAACCTAAAATGAAATAAAAATGTTGAAACAAGCCATTTCTAACTTTATTTCATTTGTAGTAAAGAATTTGCATTTTCTCTTGTATTAATTATTATCCTGTTATTTCTGCAGTACAATAAAGAACCTTATTTAAATAATATGACATTAAGTTTGTTGTTTTTTCTTTAAACCTCCAGACCAAGGTAGCCTTCTGGATGGAGCGGTCCGAGGTCGAGACAATTTATTATAGTATATTTGATATCATGGCCCTCGTCCGAGACAATGCATATCCTTCTGACCCACTCTTTCTCCAAAAGGTTGCCAAAACCTGATTTAAATATTAACGAGTTTGAATAATTGATTCAATAAATTAGAAAAAATAAAGACCATAAATAAAAAAGATTTCTGGAATATCATTATAATTTTAAATAATTGTTTAAGCAAATAAAAATTAATTATTTTAAAAAATCCCAATTAAATAGCAAATTAATTTTTTTTGTATTTCTTCCTTTGTTTTTTTAAGGAATTCTTTGAAATTGGATTCTGGACTAAAATCTAGCAGCCATCTTCCTGGAAATGATACCTTAGACCAAACATTTTCCCTGGCTTCATGTACCAACTCTGAAATGAGTCTCTGCTTAAAAGATCCCATTGCTGGAAATTCTATTCCAGAATTTCATGACTGCAAAGAGAGTCTGGTAAATGGTAAAATTCCTGCATCTTCAGATTTGACCACAATGCATGCTTTTGAAGTGAACCCCATTAAGGACATAAAAGGCTTGTCATTTGATCAGGGAGATGTGACTGTTCCATTACCAAAACCAGCTGAAGAAAGCCAGTTTCAACTGATTAAGAAAAGCGATGATGATTCGAGAGAATTGTTAAAAAAGAAAATAGCAAAACAAAGGCATGACAGTGAAGAGAGGAACATTCTCATTCGTAGCAATGCCGTTGAAGAAGATAATGATAAAAATGTTTCCGATTCTGAATTCTTGGATGAATTAGGCACAAAAGAATGTGCCAATGTTGCAGAAAAGAACCCAGAACCAGACAAGTTGGCCGACAAAAATATCAATCAGAATTCACTCTTTGGTAGGGAAACCTTTTTCTCAAGCACTAGCAGTTTGGAAAAAGAAGAATTTAGTGAAAGGCAGACCTCATTGATTGATTCCAAAACATCCATCGATGTTGAGTGCATTGTGCAAAAGCAAGAATTTCTTCCAGAAGCAACAAAAAAAGACAAGGTATCAAGACACAGTTCCGTCATGAAGAGGTACCGATCTTATCAGGAATCTGGATCTTTGCTCAAAGTTGGCATCATTCCTAGCTCAGAGGCAGACTCTGATTTTGGCCCAAGACACAGTGTTTCAACAGAAGATGGAAATGGTGCAGACGAAGATGAAACTCCAACTTGTAGCAGTGATATGGCATCATCTCCTATCAGTGAGTTATCTCTAGATGGTGATGACCAGTTTTCTGAGTCAGGCAAAACCATTTGCCAGGAAGCACCATTCCTCTCAAATGATGTATCAGTTCATTCTTTGGATTTTTCGGGATCACGAAAAAACAGTATTTTGATTCCAGTTTTGAATGACAACAGCAGAGTTGTTTATCATTCTGCAGATTTGGTCCGATATTCAGACAACACTGATGTGATGACCTTCCTGAAAGGAATTGTAAGTCTTTTCTTTCTTTTCTCTCAGTTTCGACTTTTTTTTTTTTTATCTCAAGCATTTCACCCCAAGCAAGGCAGGAGTGCCACTAGTACACAACGGGTTACAGAGAGTAAAAGGGAGAAAAAAAAAAACTGAGTATAGTGGGGATTGAGGAAAGCATAAAGAGAAGGGCAGGGATCAAGATCAAGGCACCAGAAGATGTTGATTGATGTTAAATTTAAATTTTTGAAGATTATAGTTATCAGGGAAGCAAGTAAGAGGAAGGGAGTTACACTGCTGGGAAGTGTGAGAGAAGAAGTTGTTGGAGTAGAAGAGTAGGTTACATTTAACTGTTTCAACAGTAAAAGGGTGGGGCCGACATGCCAACCTCGTAGCATTGCTTAAATTCATGAAGTCAGGCCACCAGTAAAAATAGCTTGTCAGAGCAGTTGCCACGAAAATATTTGTAGAAAAGACAGAGGGAAACCACATTATGTCTGTGAGAAAGTGACTGATATTACTGAGGTACCAGCAGCTGATTGTTCAACAAGATTTCTGGGAGTTAACATTATTTACATTCTGACTAATACTTTCATTTTTGCTGTTATTATCACAACGTTTCAACCATTAAGCCCTCCAGTCTATGCCAGATGTCTGTTGATTCAGGTTACTTTCAGGAAATTTTGAATTGGAACTTTTATTTAATCTATAAGCATAGATTGTTCTTGTTTCACTGACCAAGTCTAAGGGTAACATTTATTTTTCCTTTTTTTTATTTTTAGTTATTTTACCTCCAATCTAGGCAACAAAGCCACTAAGGTTCAGGGGTTTATGGCGTATGAAAGAATATAAGAAAAAGAAAACCTTATTAAGTAGCAAGAACAATAAAAGAACAGGAATCAAGAAGACAGAAGATAACGTTTGAGAGTGTATTTAAATTTTTGAAGATCAAACTGGAAGAGAGTTCCACGAGTGAGAAGTGCGAGGAAAGAAACTGTCAGCATAGAACTTAGTTACATCTAGCCATTTCACCTGTAAATTGATGAGACCTTACAGCCAATCTAGTACTGCACTTAAATTCATAGAGTCTAGGTGCTATAGAGGAAAGTTCATCAGAACAATTACCATGAAAATATTTATAGAAAAGGCAAAGGTAAGCTACATTATGGCAGTGAGAAAATGACTGAATCCGAGATGTTAGGTCTATGGATTTTATCAAGGATCTCTAAATATATAGCTGGAATACCAGACGATATGTTGTAGCAATACTCGAAGCATGGACGAATGGTAAACTTGTAAATAGGTAAAATAGATTCTGACAAGAAAAATTCTCTAGCATGACACAGAGAAGCAACTTTCATAGCATCAGAGTTAGAAATTGATTCAATATAATCTTTCTACTTCATGTTAGCAGAAAACAGCCTGAGAAGGCACAATGATTGACTCTCCTGGATTCTAGCATGAACCATGCTGATCGAAAGCAGATAGGATTCTCTCAGATAATTAATAGACTATGTTAATCCTCAGTGAATCAATTGCATCTCCTGTTAGTATGAATATTGACAAATGAAACATTTTCAATATGGCTGCCAACATTTTATAGAAAGCACCACCAGGTGGCACTAAACAACAGCCAAAAAGCAAGGGCAATATGAGCTCTGGTAAAAAAAATCATGCAGTGATAACAGCAAAAATTTGTAATATGAACACTGGTAAAAAAAGGTTGCTGAAGACATTAGGTTTATAATACCCAGAAATTCATGCACAGATGTCCTCAAGTCACATGGCACAGTGGATAAAGGCGTTAATTAGATGACAGGACCCAAAGAGTGTGAGTTTGATACCTGGTTAAGGTGGTGGAGAACTTGGAGAGGGGAATTAACAGGAGATAACTGATAACTGACATCCATTAGACATGGCACGTGGAATTAGAACAGTCTACCCCAGTGAGCGAAATAAAGCGTTCAGTTCAACATTCCAACCACCTGAAGAAGGCCGGAGCATACAACCGCTGAAACGTTGTGATAGATATGGCAACAGAGATGAGGACAATAGTCCGAATAATGTAAATAATGTACTACAACATTAACAGAGCAATTTTATTTTGGAGGTGTTAAAATTAACAAGTCTTATTCTTATTTTTTTGAGAGATAGTTACTAAGTCTGCACTGCCCAAACCAGGGATTGAACACACAATTACTATGTTACCAAATTCAAGAATCAATATTTTAATCCACTGAAACTATTCTGAAACTAAAACCTGTAGTCTTCAACCTGATCTTCTTATTGCCTACCTGCTGCTGCTTTTGCTTCTGCATTTAATATTGATTCTCTTTTCTGAATTTCTTAGATGAAACATTGTTAAGTATTATCTATCATTTTTGTTATGTTTTTTTGTTCATTTTTTTCACAACTCCCAGATTATCATTCCATGATTGTTAGTGTTAATCAGAAATAAAAAAAAAAGTCGTCCATTGGCAAGACTCACACTTCCATCCTTAAATAAATTTACTTGTCCAAATAAATAAACAAAAAATGAAATCTGATACATATCAGTGCAGGAAATAATTGCAATGTTATTATTTCTAAAAACAAAATGAATAAAAGACTTTTTAATTGAATCATGACAAAGGGAATATATTGTGTTTACCATGCATTTTATTCCTGATGCATTAGAAGCAAATATAACAGGTTTATTTAGCATTTATTGATGATACTGAAAATAAAATCATTACCTGGACATATTGGGCAATGTTTCTGGTGGGAAAATAATTTTTTTTTTTCTTATAGGATAAATCTGATTTCACATCTTTGAACACACGTCTGAAGATTCTCCAACAACAGCTGATGTTAGAAAGCAAAGAATGGCAAAAGATGAATCGATTGTACCAAAGTCTTCAAAATAAAGAAACTTGGAATAAAAGTATGAAGGTTTTTTTTTCTTGTTTTTTTTTTTGTATTGGGTGGGGTGGAGGTCTGAGGAAGAAATTTTTCTGAAATTGTTCAAAATATTTCTTTTGTTCATTTTCTGAAGTTGTATATTTGCAGTTGGTGATTTCCTATTCATTTCTATAGTAAAATAATTTGCAACGCATTTCTGTAGTAAGTCTTAAAATTCATTTCTGTATTAAAGCATTTGCAAATTAATCAGCAGTTTGAGGATCATTTTAGGCCATTTGACAATTCAAAGATCATTTTGACCTATTTGACAATTCAAGGATCATTTTGAAGAACATTCTAGGTCATTTAGTAATTTGGGAATTATTTTTAGCTATTTGACAATTTGTGGATCTTTTGGGGCTATCTGGCAATTAGGGAATCATTTTGAACTATTTGACAATTTAGGGAACATATTGGACATGGCAGTCTATCATTTTGAAGTCATTTTTCATTGATTCAGTTTTGTATGCTAATTTGTTAACTAAATCTGTTCATTTTCAGGTAACAAACTCCAAATGACAAGAGTCTACAATGACTTGAAAGAATGTGAAGAAACCTTAAATTGCTTACAATTGTATCAACAACATTTGGAGGTATTTTAAAATTTTCTATTTCCTTCATTCTTTTATTTTGTCAAACTAAACTAAACTAAGCTTAGTTTTTTTATATTATTATGACTTTGTAATGAAGATTTGATGGGTGCCATCCTGGGTATGTGTTATACCTGACGTACCTATTCTATTATTAATAGACTCTCCCACACATAATAAGTAGTAGTAGTAGTAGCGGTCTCCAGTTGGGCTCAGTGGTGTTGAGTGAGTCAGTCGATGTCGGACATTGAAGTACCAACCATCACAACTAGATTGCTGCGTCATTAACTCTTATTTCAAGTTCCTAACGTTTTGTACGTCGAACCTAATTTAGGACGACTTATTGAAATACAAGCCTTCACTGTGAAAACTACTCTACAACAGTATGACAATAAACTACATCTGCGTCCTGGGTAAGATGATCAACTATGTCCAAGACCTCTGATCTGGAGGTTTTTCTCCACTGCCTTAACCGGGTATTGAACTCACACTCTTTGAGTCCTGTCACTGGATCTAACCAATGCCTTTATCCACTGTGCCATGTGACAGGACCCAAAGAGTGTGAGTTCAATACCAGGTTAAGGCAGTGGAGAACTTGGAGAGGGGAATTAACAGGAGATAACTGATAACTGACATCCATTTGTGGGGAAAATTGTGAAAATGGCTTACCTCGGAAACGCATGCAAATCTGTGCAGTGTGCAAACTCCGGTTCTCCCAACAGTAAAAGGAACCAAAATGGCGGCGCCCATATTTTATGCCAGGCGGTCTCGGTTAGTTAATGTGAAATCTCGTTGTCTCATCATTCGCATGCAAATCGTGGTTGGTCCTCGGCTGTATAAAGCAGGCTCATTTTGCTGTTTCAGAGAGCTTTCGGCTCGTGAGAAGGTTGGACGTGCGATGCCGGGGGTTTTTGGTCACCCCCCTCCTCACGGTTTCTTTGTTCCTACCTGCTATCATCAGTTGAGTTGTTGCGTTACCTCCCACACCATTAAACATGGCGCATGGAACTAGAACAGTCTACCCCAGTGAGCAAAATAAAGGGTTCAATTCAACATTCTACCCACCTGAAGAAGGCCGGAGCGTACAATGGCCGAAATGTTGTCATAAATATGGCAACAGAGATGAGGACAATAGTCCGAATAATGTAAATAATGTCTGATGATAGATGCAAAAACTCACCTCTGGATGTAGGTAATGGCATAAAACCAAAAAGAAATTCTTTTATCACATACAAGATGAGGAATGAAGAGTTATGGAGGCAATCCAAAGTATTAAGCAGCATAGCCTAAACAAACTGGAAAATATAAGGAATGGATGAATGTTCATGTGGAGGGGGGGATGAAGAACCAAGATGTGTTAATTGGGATCATATTGATGATTAAAAGGAATTACCTTATCCAGAAAATGCTGTACTGTTAACCATGGATCAAGAGATATCCAAGAATATTGTGGATGCTAAGGGAAGAGAACTAAATAACTTGATTGATAATAATGTATTTGAAGTCGTCCATTTTGAAAAGCTACACTATCTTCTTGCTGGATCATATCTGAAAATATAAAGATGACAAAAATAAAAATAAAACTAGATTAGTGGCCCATGGCTTTGAAGAGAATACTAACAATCTTAGAAAAATTCTCCCACCTGCAGTAGAGTGTTTATGCTTGGTATTTTTGACAGCAGCTTTGATGTCCTGGAGGTTGCAATCTATTGATATAACAGTGGCATTTCTACAAGGGGATCCTTTGAAAAGAGATATTTCTATGCCCACCTCATGATGCCTGTCTAAAAACTGAAATCTGGCATCTTGGCTTCACTCCTGTTCCCACCAGTGTAACACAGCTTCCCTGTGCCCTTTCTATAAATACTTTGATGGTAATTGTTCTGATGACCTTTCCTCTAAGGTACCCAGACTTTATGAATTTAAGCGCAGTACTAGATTGGCAACAAGGTCTCATCATTTTACAGTTTAAATAGCATGATGTAACCAAAGTTCTATGCTAATGGTTTCTTCTATGGCACTTTTTGTTTGTGGAACTCTCTTCCAATTCCATGCTTTCCAGCTCTTTTCCTGATGTCTTTTTAATTCTTGTTTAGTGTTTTTTTTTCATATTCTCTAACACTCAGTAACCTATTGCATTTTAGTGGCTTTATTGCCTTGCGTCCTTTTTGTTTCCATTTTCCTTAAAACTTCCTTGTCCCTCACATCTCATGGTATTCTTAGCATCCTTCTGTAGCACCACATTTCTTTTGCTTCATGCCTCTTTTTCATCTGTGAGGTGATTGTCCAGCATTCACTGCCATATAGGAAGACTGATATTACATAACAGTTCAGTACTCTTTTCTTTGTTTCTGTTGCTTCAAGTCTCTTCATCTGTGAGGCGATTGTCCAGCATTCACTGCCATATAGGATGACTGATATTACGTAACAGTTCAGTACTCTTTTCTTTGTTTCTGTTGCTTCAAGTCTCTTCATCTGTGAGGCAATTGTCCAGCATTCACTGCCATATAGGAAGATTGATATCCCGTGACAGTGAAGTTGTCTTTCCTTTATTTCTAATGAAATTTTCCTGTTTTTAATACTTTGCTTAACTTTTGGAGTGATTTTTGATCTTTATTGGGTGCCACATGTAGCTAACCGCCAGTGTCAATGAAAAAAGGTCCACTGCTTCATACTGATGTTATCCTTTTATTTAGGAAAGACACCATGAAAACTAGAAACAAGTAACAAATATATCTCTCAAAAAGGGGAAAATGGATAACTAAAATACATTTCAAAGGAAAACACTTTTCAAACAGAAACAATAACAATTTGAAACACACTGAAAATAATAAAGGGGAAATAATTACTGCTTTTTAATTATTGCTTTTTGATGACCTTAGAGAAGTCATAGCTAAAGGAAAGATCATATAGTACTTTCTTATCTGACTGGGTCATGTGGTAGAAAGCTCAAAGAAATTTGCATTAAACACATCTCTATTTTTATATTTTTAAGGAATATTAAAATTATTCCTATAATTTTAACCCTATTACTAGTGCTACCATACTAGTACCAAGTAGTAAAATCTCTAAACTTGGGGATGCATATACCAGTCCCTTCAGTGACCATTACTCCCCACACTTGTTGCCTTGTTCTTGATTAAGCTGTAGCCAGGTATAATCTTGTTCTTCTATCTAAATAAATAAATTATTCATTCTGTCTGTCCGTGTGTCTGAAACCCCTCTAATTCAGGCCACACTCACATTACATAGACATATACCTTTTTGGAATCAGGATAATCCTGAGATTGAAAATCTGCCCTTTATCTGTAAGCAGTAAAAAATATCTAAAGTTATATTTTTGTTAATAGGAGGTCAGTCCAAAAATGACCCAAAAATCTTCAAAATAAATAAACAGCAAATTCTGTCCGTCTCTCCTTGTGTCTAAAAACTCCTCTAACTCAGCCCACACTTCCTCTACATGGACATATTATACAGCTTTTGGAATCAGGATGATCCCAGAATTGAAAATCTGCCTTTCATCTGGTGCTTGAACATCCAGAATTGGGATGAGGAAGGTTTAAAGTAACTGAAAAAAAATAAGTGATTTTAAAAGTTTGTAATTTATATTCAGTTTAAAGTAACACAAAAACTGTGAATTTAAAAATTCTTGTTTTAAATTCAGTTTAAAATATCTCCAAAACTTTGTGAATTGAGGAAATTAATTTTATTTTTTCAAAATGCCAAGAAATCAGAATTAAAGTGAGATTTCACGATGTAAGGTTTTGAAGTTCCACGCAGTTTGGTGATTTGAAGAACTCAACTCAATTGAAGTTCCATGGTGTTATTTGAAGAACTCAATTTTTGGTCTGAATTGGAATTTAGGCCCAAATCAGTTTTTTTTAGCTGGAATTGGACTTTAGCCCAAATCACAGTGAAAGTGAGGTTTTGAAGTTCCATGGAGGGAATTAAGGAATTCAGAGGTATTTCTTCAAAAATATCATTGATGTTTTCTAAGCTGGACCAAAGATCCTTTTAGTTTTGGGCCAGAGACCCAATTAGTCCTCTGTAGGAACTAGCTTAAAAGTTGCACACCATGCAGACTTTTAAGTTAGTATCCTATAAATGAGCAAGAATAAAATATAAAAATATTTAGCTGTTTACACTATATAAATTGTTCAGACAGTCGTCCTCATCTTTATTGCCATATTCAAAATGTTTTGGCCATTGTACGCTCCGACCTTCTCCAGAAGATATATGTTGGAATGAAGGAGGTCAAAGTGCACAACGGCCGAAACATTGTGAATATAGCAATAAAGATGAGGGCAACACTCTGAACAATGTAAATAGTGTAAATAGTTACAATACATCATCTGAGAAATAGCGACAGATGTTGAAGGTGAATATGGCAATAAAGATGAGGACAACAGTCCGAATAATGTAAATAGTGTAAATAGTTACAATACCTCATCTGAGAAATAGAGACAGATGTTGAAGGTGAATATGACAATAAAGATGAAGACAACAGTCCGAACAATGTAAATAGCGTAAATAGTTATAATACCTCATCTCAGAAATATAGACAGTTAGTTTAGCAATCTAGGGATTTGTATAGCCAGGTATTTGCACACTGCTATGATCAATTTTTTAATTTCTTTTATTGTTACTTCTGGTTTTCAGCTGCTCATTGTAAGCAAATGCAGTATCCCTCATGACTTGGTCCATTCGCTTACGATGTGTGATGGCACCAAACCTTTGGATCTGATACCCCAGAAAGACAACCCCCATCTTCACTACCATACAATCAGTGCAACTGAAAACACAACAGGAATGGACACTTATGTTCTCAATGCTGGTTTCCCAAGAGCACTTTTTGCTAATCTTTATACCCAGTAAGTTGCAATAATATTTGTAATTTTCTTTCCTTACTTGATATTCTCAAATTACCTAACAGGTAAATGATTCAGTAAACATGAATTGATTTCATTTTTCACATGACACTGCAACAAATGAAAATCTCTAATCTATATTAACTTTCACACCTGTTGGCAGACACAGGTATAGTTCTTTGTGAGTGCACCTGTACAATTTACAAAGTGTGACAATTTAATTCCTATCTGCTAGGGTAACGAGTCAGGCAGTTTGTCCATTTCAACTGAGTGAAAGTACACACTGCCCATTCCAACTTACAATCACTATGTCACCAAAGCAACTTACATTTTCTTAAGACACCAGACAGATGAGTTGTTTGTTGCCTGACAGTAGAGAAAGTTGCATGGAGTGGCTGTAAATTAATGTAAGGAATCCAGGGAAGTGGATTTACATCAATTATTTGTTTGAAGATTGGTAAAAGTGGCAGTGGGATTGTAATCTTATTCAAAGAAGAGTATCTGACAGCAAAGTCCATCTTTGGCCTTAGCATGCTGTGTAGCCTCTAAGGCGGGTGTCTTGAAGAGTATCTGACAGCCAAGTCCATCTTTGACCTTAGCATGCTGTGTAGCCTCTAAGGCGGGTGTCTTGAAGAGTATCTGACAGCCAAGTCCATCTTTGGCCATAGCACGCAGTGTAGCCTCTAAGGCGGATGTCTCAAAAAGTATCTGACAGCCAAGTCCATCTCTGGTCTTTACATGCAATTTAATTTAGCCTTTAAAGCAGATGAGGCTGTTCCCACTGACAGGAGAAAGGTAAAAAGTGGGTTGCAGGTGCTTGAAAACCAATTTCATTAGGGTAGATGGATCTCATAAACTTAGGCTTGTAGCTTAAATGACCCTAATTTAAAACCCCTGCTACCTTGTGTTTATATCCACCTGTGGGAAAGGCTTTGTGAGTCAATCCCTGAAGGGACAGCTTAATACCACCAACTGAACACTAGGACAATTCAGGATGGAGACAATTCAGCACCAGTAAAACATAACTTTCTATATAATTGAATAAAAGTAATTTATTACGGATTAAAACCTTAATTAGTGAATATTTTTTAAATTATTTTTAATAAATTATATCATAAAGAAATTTATTTTTTTAATAAAGTAAAATTATTCACTAATGAAGGTTTTAATCCTAACTTCTATTCAGTTATAAAAAAAAGTTGTTTTTCTGGTGCTGAGTTATCTCACTCCTCAATCCACAGTGTTGAGTTGTCCTGCACCCAAACCCAAAGGAAAATCCATAGTCAGTCCCTAAAGCTATTTACAACTTTATTCAACATCCTGTCAACTCCAGAGATGGTGCTTAAACTATATGTATTGGTACTTGTCTTTTCATTGAATTATTTCAATGCTGCATAAAAGTGGGGGCATGGATAATAGTCTGTCCTCTATATCTACTTACCCAGGCCTTGAGTACTGGAGAGACAGGGTAAACACAATGTGTGCGGCACCTGAAATATCATCCAGAATACAACTCTATAAGCACTGAACACTAGGTTACAATGATGACTGTTTTATTTCTTTGCTAGTCTATTAATAAAGAATTACCTTGACTTGTTAATACATTTGAACACTATTTATAAATTGCTGAAATCTTTTTTATACAATTTTCATAGATGTTTACAAAAAATGAGTAAGTTTTCTATGAAATTTGAAATATTTCTTTGTTTACAAACTGAGAAATTGAGGCAGATTGTATATTTCTCCCAAGCACCAATTGGGAAGAAATTGAAGAAAGATTATGTTGCTCCAGTATTCCAAGTGGGGAGGGTCAGTTTGCTTTGATATTTGTTAGATTAGTTCAGTAGAGGACAAGAGCAAATAGCAAAATATGAAGGAAGGAAGATTGTGTTGCTCCAATATTCCAAGTGGAAAAAGTCTTCTTTGATATTTGTTAACATGAGCTCAGTACAGGACAAGGCCAAATAGGAAGAAGTGGTGGTAAGAAGAACATGTTGCCAACCTGCTTTCTCTATTTGGGACATTGTTGCTGCAGTTTTCCCAAGTCCAGTCCTACCCATTTGACCATGTTATAAAAAAATACCAATTCTTCACCTCAGAATTTCAGAAATGACTGATGAACATTCTATATTGAAATCTTTAACTTTGATTTCATCTCAATGTTTGTATTTTTTACTACTTTCACTTTCAAGGTCTGCGCTGGTTGAAGGAATCATCCATCAGTTTTTTTACTGTTATCGTTATTTCTCATCCCCTCAGCAATTATTTTCTTTCATGACCAGCACGTACACAGCTTCCAAAAGGTAAGTAATTATACTATGTTGGATGTCGCATTCTCTATTCGGAAATCTTTTAACATTTTAATTCTCTCGTAGATAGGGGTAGGTGGACAGAAGCAAAATTGTAGAAAATGAAATTGGCAAGGCATATTCAAATTCCAACCTGATCTGTTGTGTTGACTTTTGCACAAACCCCCTTGGGAAAAGTATGAATTTATTTCATGCCCCCAGATGTGGGTTAATTAGTAGGGTAGACAATTCTCTCTAGCCTTAGTTGACAACCAGTTCAGGAAAAGGAAAACTCTGAATTCAAAATTGTGGAGAAGGCAATGGAAGCCACTTTATTATCTTTCCTAAGAAGTCATGGTAAGTTATAGATAATAAAAAAGGAAAGTGTGGAGAGGCATGGTTGCCTACATTCTGACATTTTTTTTAATAAAGTGAATATTTAATTCAAGGTGGAATTAAGTAGTAAAAAATGTTGGGTGCTGTAAAGAAAAAAAAAATTTGGCATTTCAGGTTAAAAGATCATTGGTATGAATATTGCATTTTGTGATACAGTGTTAACTTTTGACCCCCATCTGCTAGTCGCCTTCCTGTCTTGAGGCCAAACTGCCTATTATGCCCATCCTGTCCAATCTATCACAGGGGTGGCATTAAAGACATGGGTTGTATTGTGGTGGCTGTTGCTTTTGGCATGGCTTCAGTTAAAGATGGCAACAGCAGCAGCATGTATGCAACTTATTTGAGTCTTTGGTATAGAGATGAAAGAAAGAAATAGGGGGAGAAGAGATGGGAATGAAAGATTGACAGAGAGAGAAGGAGAAAAGAGATGGAGATGAAAGAAAGAGGGGGAGAAGGGATGGAGATGAATGAGTGACACAGAGAGGGAAAAGGGAGGGAGATCAAAGAAAGAAAGAGAAAGAGGGAGAAGGCAAGGAGATGAAAGACAGAGAGACGGGGGAAAGGGATGGAGATGAATGACAGAGAGAGGGTAAAAAGAGACAGAAATGAAAGAGTGGGAGAGAAGAGATGGAAATGAAAGAAAAAGAGGGAGAAGGGATAGAGATGAATGAGTGAGACAAGGGGAGAAGGGATGGGGATAAAAGAAAGAGGGGGAGAAGGGATGGAGATGAATGAGTGACACAGAGAGGGAAAAGGGAGGGAGATGAAAAAATGACAGAGGATGGGGGAGAAGAGATGGAAATGAAAGAAAGACATTGAGGGAAGAGGAGAAGAGATGAAGATGTAAAACAGTGAGGAGGAGGGATGAATGGAAAAAAGACAAAGAGGAACAAGGGATAGAGAGGAAAGAAAGGGAGGGAAATGAAAGAGAGAGAATGGTAGAAAAGAGATGAAAGAAAGTCATAGAATTGCTTTTTGACTGGAGATTAAGAAACAATGAGTGAAAGACTGAAAAAAACTAAAATAATTGAAAAGCCTGTAAAAATTGTGATGCATTAAAAATTGATAAATGAAGGAAGAGAAAGATAATTGAGAGGATAGGTAGAAAATATTTGTGAATACCTTATTCCATTTCTAAATAAAAACATAGGCAATAAAGATTGAAAGGGATAAGGGAGAGAATTAGAAGATACAGGTAATGAGTAGAAAAAGGCATGAGATGAGCTTAGTTATAGAAATCTATGGAATTTCCATGAAGCCAGCTAGTATATGTATATTGTCTCCTTTGAAAAATTTTTCAGGTGTTTACAGTCAGAACAAACAAGTATAGTCCAAGAACGGACTTTATTGCTGTTACTGTGGTGGATCAAAGACTATTACAGCATCGACTTTCATGGTAATAGTAAATTGTGCAAAATGGCTCAAGAATTTATTCAAGAGGTAATTAGAATTTCATCTGCAGCATCAGCTGTTTTAAAACACCTGTTCTTTTTTTGTCTTGTTTTTAAATAATTTTTACTTGCTTATCAGCTTATTCAAAAAATAATGTCTGATTTTAGAATAAACCTTTTGTTTTAATATATTTTATTATAATAGTGGCACAAAAATATATTACTCGTTCCTAATAATTAACATATCCTCTTTAATAATTTTTATATTAGTCTCTTTCAGAATTGTTATATTCTGTGCTAATAGGAATATATACTTGAAAAACATGGTGGATAAAATAAGTAAAGGTTTATTGTAAAAACCAGTACAATAAGAATAAAGATAACAGTTATGCACAAGGTCATCATCGTAAGTCAATCCAGTAGTGAGTGCTACTATTGGAAGGTCGGTAGTTCTCGCGTAAGTCTGAGTCGTACTCAATAGATCCCAGCTAGTGTATTTACTAACCTACCCATGCGATCAGATGTGGCACAAGGCCGAGTTTAATGTGGGCCATCCGAGCCCGTAAACTCAGCCAAAAATTCCTGTAGACCCCATATAAAACAGGGTCAGGTAGCTGTTTTCCAAGATGAGACTCTGCTTTTTGGCATAGCCCTGTGTGTGGATCGTCTTTGCTCAAAGGCAGAGAGTTTGACCAGCACAGCCGGAAAAGATTCCAGCTAGACTCTGTAGTCTGTTGACTGACCGATACTTATAGGTAGTTATTTCAGGTGACAGGTTATTTCATTAGATCAAAAATTTAACAAAATATCATGTATCTGGTCATCTTGAACATGAAAAACAAAGAGATGCATTTATTTTTTTTTTTTTTCACAAGTTGTAGCTTTTGATCATAATGCTTCTCAAACTGCTGCCAACATTAACAGATTCTGGAGTGAAAGATCCATTTGCATTCAGATAATATGGTGCTGGTTTCTGAAGTTCTGCTCTGTGAATACAAGTCTTGAAGATCAAGGTGGTAGAAGATAACCATCTACAATTGATAATCAAGATCTGCAAACACTAGTCGAACAAAGCCAACATCACAGTATCAGAGAAATGTCTCAGATAATTGGTATCAGCATTTCACCAATATTGGGCTATCTGAAGAGAATTGGCAAGGAGAAGAGGCTCAATGAATGGGTTCCAAATGAACTTGGTCAAAGAGTTCCAGGTTTTGAGCTCTGTTCTATGTTGCATCTGTTAAATGCAAATGATCTGTTTGTTGATTGGATAATGGCTTGTGATAAGAAATGACAGTCATAAATGATCGGCTCAATGGTTTGATCCTGATGAAGGAATCAAACACTTTCCAAAATCAAAATTGCAACAACAGAGGATTATGGTGACTGCCTGGTGGTCCACCATTGGTGGTCCACAATTGGTGGTCCACCGTTACAGCTTTTTGGAATCTAAGCAGAGCATCATACAGGTTTCAATGGATAAATTGTCATCCAAATTACACAAAAATGAAAATAACACTGACATCTCATTTTTCATAATCCTTGCCTTCAGTTCATCTTTGTTGTTACAAGGAGTTTTGTTGATCTCTCAACAACACATAATAATCAAGGAGGTTGCTGTCTTACGTGGTCAGAGGTAAGAAGTGACGTGGTCGCAAAAATTGTCTAACAGTTCATTTTTGGTGTTGAAAGGAGTTTTGTTAGCCTCTCACTCTGCTGTGTCCACTAGACACTAGACCTGGCTTCTTTAATATTTCCCCTTTTCTAGCAAGATTAATGCTCAACAAACATACAAAATTTTAGATCAAAATAAAATTCTTTTCGTTTTTCATTCAAAATACTGAAATTTTAGGAATACGTTTTCACAACGTTGCCCACGTGATGACGACGTGATCATATTTAAACGGAATGCTGATCTTATAAAAAATTTCAGTTAGCTGTTTGGATTGGTATTGCTTTTATGTCCATCGTCTTTTTCATGTTGAATTATATATGGTCTATGTTAATTATGTTTTATGAATATGTCCTGAAGATGGTCTATTAGACCGAAATGTCCAACGTTGACATTAAACATTAAAACAGCATAATCGCATATTAGGATTTTCGTTTGTTTTTTCAGTATATTTTTCTTCACACATATATATATATATATATATAATATTTTATATACCAGAACAATGTTAGGAGAGCCAAAATCACTTTTTTTTCTCACACTTCTCACTCATGGAACTCCCTTCTAGCTCCATGCTTTCCAGCCAAGTTTAATCTGCAAAATATTAAATGCAATGTCAATTGCTATCAACTGTACTCCTGATTACTCTCTTCTCTTCCTGGTCATCATTAATGTTTCTTTTCCTAATTCTTCCACACCCTGTAGCCCCTTGTACTTTAGTGTTATTACTATCTTGCTTGGGGTGATTCTAGTTTTAAAAAAAGAACTTTAAATAAAAGAATATATGAACACAAAAATGATGTAAACCTCAAGTGAGACGACTCTAATTACTGCTTCTTGTTATAATCTTCTTCATTGCTTTTTCCTGACCCAAATATTCTGGACTTGAGGAGGTAGTGCTACCCTGGGTCAAGAGGGTGACATATTGCTTTTAAGGGATTGCCAATCTGAAGATTTCAAGTTGAAAATGATTATAATTTGTAACTACTTATTTTTTTTTCCAGCTTCCGGAAGATGACAATAGAGTTGCTGATGTCAAAACTGTTTGGGATATTCACATATCTGGACATACCCAAGAATTAATGTCTGCTGCCCCAAAGCAGAGCTTGGTTTATACTGTGACATGTCTGACAAAAAAAGTAAGACTTTTTAAACTTTTATTATTATTACAGGCAATAGTGTATCTATGATGAAGCAAATGAAATTTAAGTTACTAATCCCAGTTTAGGAAAAGAGTGAAGAGGACACTTTACTGGTTAGACTTCATATTGGACATACAAGACTAACTCATGGTATACCTGCTAAGATTCAAACATGTACTTTGATGCACCCATTGCAATCAGAGCTTTTATATAATAGATACTACAATGTCACAAATATAAAAAAAAATTGTTCAAAGATGTTGAAGAGACAAATAATAGTTTCTAAAAGAAATAAGAATTTTTAAATAACTTTAAAAATTGTTTATTTATGGTTATAAAAGAAGGACTGGTTTAAATGGTTCCATTTGACAGATTAAACAATCTACTTAAACCGAATTGTAGCGGCCAAACTGAGCCCCTCCAACTAGTGGAAAAAAGGAATGTATATGTGCATATGTTATGACAGGCATGACTTTTAGGACTGGCTCGTGAATTGCACAAAAGGCCACAAACAGTACAGGAGAATGTATTGTATCCAAGTACAGCTGTAACACTGTTAGCTGTCTTATTTTGCTTTCTCGTTTCATGTAGTCGACTGATGGTTACTTCTCAGTGCAGCTATATCAATGTTGTACTTCTTTAGTGCCAATGCGACCAGAGCTGTTTTTCTTTCTGGTGCTGTGTTGTTGTCCTGGAGAGTTTGTATATTCCAAGTGCCAAGATGAAGTTCTTGTTGTTTAGTAGAGTTTTTCACAGTAGCCAGATATGTGTGGAACTAATTAGATGTAGTTGTCAGAAAACTAACATAATGATTTTTTTCAAGTGATAAAGGCTTGTGTTGGACCATCCACACTTTTCGGATCTGTCGATAAAAAAGTAATGGTACAAAAGACATGCCACAGAAACTCCGAACGACAGTCCTCATGTGTTATTATCGCAGAGTTTAACCTCTCTGGATTACAGTTAATACCAGCCAGTACATGCCTCTCGGCAGACACATGCAATATAATGACCAGGATAAGCTGTCATGAGTTTTCTTTCCCAACTGAAGTCTTTTTATTGTGGAACTAACACCAAAAGGATTGCTAACCAAAGCTCAGAGAGACTCCTTTCATCCTCATTAATATATATATATATATATATATATATATACACACACTAATGTTCACCCAATATGTGGCCCAAGGATCACTTAATGTAGAGATTGTTATGTGTGATAAGAGAAAGTTAAGAAGTGCAGTTTATGGAGATATTTTTTAATCATTTCACCCCAAGCAAGGCAATAAAGTCACTTAGACACAGGAGGTTACTGAGTGTGAAAGAATTGGAAGAAAATCATTATTAAGGAGAGAGTACAACAAAAGAACAGGAATTAAGAAGACAGAGGATAATGATAGACATTGTATTTAAATTTTGGAAGATCAAAGTTGACGGAAGCAAGAAACCAGAAGAGTTTCACAAGCGAAAAATGTGAAAGAAGACATTATTAGCATAAAACTTATGGTCAGATCGAACATTTATATTTTTTTTTTTTTCAGAATCGTATGTCTTCATTGTCAGCTTCTGACTGGGACCTGAGGCCATCCTTTCCCTGTGATAACTCACTTCCAGGCAAGTCAAGAGACTGGCCAATTGACCACATGTCACCAGCGCATAATAGCAAAGGCTCACCACAACGGTCATTCTTCTCTTTCAATGACCACAGTGCAGAGGTTCTTACTGAACAACTTACCCTGATAGAACAGGTAAGAGTTTTATATTTACTTTTATAGAACAGGTGTAATAAGTTTAATTTGACATTTCTCAAAAAAGATTCTGACTTTTCGGTTACTTTTGTTTTTGTTTTTAACTCAGTCTCAGATCATATTCAACAAATCTCTTGGTGCAGGTAATTTGGAAAATCCAAAATCTTTTCAATGGTTGCCAGGACGATATACAATTTTAAATTCAGAGTTGTACATTCCATTACCAGGAGTGCAATTGGTAAGGCAAAAACTGTGTGCAGCTAGCCATCACTGAATTTTTTCTTTTTGCATTTAAATAGAATTGCTGAGAGTTATGCCTTACACTATTTACATTATTCGGACTATTGTTCTCATCTTTGTTGCCATATTTATCACAACGTTTTGGCCGTTGTATGCTCCGGCTTTCATCATGTCGTACTGAACCCTTTATTTCGCTCACTGGGGTAGACTGTTCTAGTTCCACGTGCCAAGTTTAATGGATGTCAGTTGTCAGTCATCTTCTTCTCCACTGCCTTAACTGAGTATTGAACTCACACTTTTTGGGTCCTGTCACTGGATCTAACCAATGCCTTTATCCACTGTGCCATGTCTCCTTGATGAGAATGAAGTATGTGTATGAATTTCTGGGTATTATAAACCTAATGTCTTCAGCAACTATTTTTACCAGTGCTCATATTGTAATTTTTGCTGCTATCATTTCATGTTTTACCAGAGCTCATTCAAGTGGATGAACTGAGATGGAAGGTGAGACAGACCTTGGAGAAGGCCAAGCCGCCCAGGTCAAACATCACAAAAGGAACAAAATCATTATCATAGTACTGGCTAACAAAGGCAATGTGACAGTAGTGATGAACAAACCAGATTATACAAGAAAGTTGGAAGACCTCATTAACAATGGTAGCTACAGCAAAGTAAAAAAAGATCCTACAATGAAAACGGAATGCAAACTGTCACAAATACTAATCAAGAACAAGACGTATAGGCAGTTATCACAGTGTTACACCAAGCTACCTCATACATATGGTCTCCCTAACATTCACAAAGACGGTATTCCACTCAGGCTGATTGTTAGTTGCCAAGGCTCTGTATGCCACCCTCTGACTCACTTCCTTGTAGATATTGTAGATATAATTGACCCATTGATCGGAAAGTCTACTTCATATGTCTGAAACTCCGCCCACTTCGTGGAAATAATCAAAGATGCTCCTATGATTTTATTTTTTTATTAGAATCCATGGGAGATATATTGGTATGAATGAGTTTTTTTTTTATGATTTTCTCATCCTGTTTGTAGTTAGCATGCATCTGGTTACAATATAAGAGTTTGATATATTTAGAGTCCTTTGAGTAAGTACCATGTTTTATTTGATGCGTGTTGAGATTTTGATAAATCGTCTTATTTGTTCATATACAATGTTGTTTGGAAAGTCATTATTAATGAGAGTCTGCTTAATATTTTTTTAGTTCAGTGTAGAAAATCTTTTTTGTGAAGGAATTTGTGTTCAGTTAATTAAATTCTGTATAAGTGCTGTTTTGTAGTAATCAGGACATTCACTCTTATAGTTGAGAGTGCAAGAATTTTTGTTCCTTTGCTTTTTTATATAGAGAGGTAGTAAATGTGTTGTTATTTGTGTCTATTAAAATGTCAAGGAAAGGGATTTTGTTATCTTTGTTCAGTTCATATTTGAACTTGAGGACAGTTTTTTTAAAAGTTTTTTTGGAGTTCTATTATTTCTTCTATGTTTTTAACTAAAAAAAGAATATCATCTACATATCTTTGGTAGATGGAGGGTTTCTCGGTGGTGCTAAATATATTATTTTCTAGCTTGGCAATGTAGAAGTTGCTGAAGATTGAACCCAGAACTGAACCCATAGAAACACCATCACTTTTGCACATATACGTTATTTCTGTGATCATAAAATGAGACTTCAGTAGTACAGGTCAAAAGTAATTTTCTTAATATTTTAGGCTTAATTTTTAATGGGGACAGAGATGTATTATTATATATATTTTTAATAATAATGTTAATGTTTTCTCTAACTGGAAAGGTAATGAAAAGATTTGCAATGTCAAGTGATGTTACGGTTTCATTATTAGGTTTTTTGGTTTTTATTTTTGTATAAGTTCAAGGGTTGATTTAATGTTATATTTGTTAGGTATGTATGGCATAATTAATTGCTTAAGTGTTTTAGTTGGTAGTGTTATAGACAAGCGTATGGTTGCAAGAAAGAAATACGACAACAGCAGAAATAGATTTACGTGGTTTATTTCAACAGGAACGTGTGGGTTTGGGACAGCTACCTTGTGGTAGAGTTTATAAGCCGGCTTCGGATCTAGGTCGATCTCTCATAGTAGTTCACACATGTTGCCGGTGGTTGGTGCTCTCCTGCTGAACGCTCGGCCTGACCGTGACAGGTCTCCTTTGTGGCCACTTGTTGACTGCCCGTTGAACTTCCATGTGACCTCTTTTATAGCATTTTTTTTATGGCTTAACAGGCTCAAAAAAACGAAGCGAGTATAATTAGGAGGGAAGCATTTTTATTGGACGAAAAATAGAGCACTTTAAATATTATTTTATTTTTCGACCGGAACACATGTGTCGGGAACATTTGTAAAGAAAGATAATGGTCATTTTGTGACGGGGGCTTTGTCCCGTTCACATCCGGTTCTCGCTCTTGAGTATTTGCCTGTAAATCAGCCGAGATATGTCTTATTTTATTTTATAACAGTAGACAAGATTGGGAATTTGGGATATAATAGGTCAGAGTGGAAAGTTAGGTGTGTACGTTTTGATAGAACCATAAATGTATCCTGGTTTATAGTCTCCAATTATTTTGGTAAGTTTGAGATTGTCTTCTTCTGCATTGGTAGCTGTGATTATTTTATTAATTTTCACTTTTAGCTGAGTAGTAGGATTATTAGTCAGTTTTTAAATTTGGTGTGAATGTCAAGTAACTGTTCCATCTTTGTGTTGTAGTCAGATTTATTTAAAACAACAATGATGTTTGCTTTATCAGCTTTTTTAATTACTATTTCAGGATGGCTGCGTAATTCTTTTGCAGCAATCTTTACTGATTTATTTAGGAGTTTAGATGATTTTTTTTCCTTTTATCATGTCTGTCTTTTATAAATTCATCCTCTATGGTAATTAGCTGCTGTTCTTCGAGTTTAATTATGTTTTGGTATAGTGTCACAATCTCAATGTTTTCACATAGTCCATTATATTTTTTGTATGTATGGTAGTTAGGTTTGAGGTTAAGTAGTTCTTTTTGGTTTTCAGTTAAATCATAGTCAGAAAAAATAATTTTTTCAAAGTTATTCGGGAGGTATATAGATCCTTTATATAATGTATTGAGTTTTCTTTGAATTTTTAATATATGTTGACATTCCGATCTGTTAGTAATTTAGTCTGTTTAGAATTTGCTAAAGCTGTTCAGAGGTGGTAGTCCTTTTTAGTGTGTTACAATCTCCTGCTTCTGTTTGTTGAGAGTTATACTAAAGCATAACTGTAAGCCTTTGCATTTAAACATAAGAAGAAAAAAATTCAGTAATGGATAGCTACACATAATTATTGCCTTACAATTGCACCCCTGATGATGATCTCAGAAAGAGATGGAAAGTACTTGGGAAATAAAAGTGATTTTCCCTGTTAGTGCATTTCTTTCTTCATTTAATTATAATATACAGAAAAATATCTGTGAATTTGAATGGATTATGCTAAAAATAAGCAAACATAATGTTTGTAATTTATTTAATCAGACATGCCTAAAAGAGAATTTGCTGCCTAAATACACACATATATATATATATTAAAAAGAAGAGAGAAACCACAAACGTTTTTGGTTGTAATATAGATCTTTTTTAAAAATATATATTATGCTTTATTTTCCATAATTTTGCAATACATGTTGTCAGCATGTGTATGTATATGTATAGTCCCTCTCAATATGTACATACTGTTTTATTATAAGGAATTAGTACACACACACACACACACATACACATACATACACTTCCTATGTTGTGTAGGGTTTGTGTGTGTGCTTGTGAGCAGTCTTGTTTTTGCCGATATGTTTATATATATATATATATATATATATATATATATATATTTGTATGTGCATACATATGCATATTCCCTCTCCATAAATATATACATACTGTGTTGTTATAAAGAATTAGTATACACACATATATATACTTCCTATTTTGTGTAGGGTTTGTGTGTGCTTGTGAGCAGTCTTGTTTTTGCCAATATGTGTGTGATATATTTGTATGTTTATGTATACACATATTCCCTCTCCATACATATATACTGTCTTATTATAAGGAATTAATATACACACATATACACCCATACATACACACACAAATATATATATATATATGTAAATTAAGAAATATTCATGTTTATTAACACTGAAGATTAACAGTCTAAATTAAATATTAAATGCATTTGACCTGAAAAAATAAAACATTCAAGAAATTTTAGGAAGTCAAAAAGTAAGTACCTTTTTTGGGGTGCCCTCTGCACGTCTTTGTGTGTATATATATATATATATATATATATATATATATATATATATATATATATACAAGAAGATATAATTGACAGGCCTTGTTAGTTTTTTAAAAAAAAATTGTAATGTCAGTTTCACTTTATGATCTGCTAATAGTTATACTACCCACATATCCATTACCTTACTTCCTCCTGATCCCTTGATGATTAATTTGCATGAAAAACCCAATTGGCAGCAATCATCACTAATAAATATTAAGTTCTATTCTATGGACAATATTTTGTTTCCCCCCACAGAGATTGAATTTACATCCTCCTTATTATTCAAACTAATGCTTTTTTTTTTTTTTTTTTTTTTTTTTTTTGGATTAACCTGTCTCCCCTACTGGTTCAAATGGATTCAGTCCATGTAGTTCAATTTAAGCTATTTGTTTTTCAGTTACTTGGTAAATTCTTCTCCGAGGAATTCAGGAATGAATAAACTTTCTGCTGCCTGGATAATCACTCTAAAATAATTTAACAAGCTTCATACATCAATAATAAATTAGCAGGAGCTAGTATACCTTGTAAATAAATTTTATATTTATTTATCAAAATAGGAAAAATCAGATTAATATACATTTCCTATTTATTCCTTTATCTTATCACTCTGTCAGATTACAATCCATATTTGATCTGCATCTCATATATATATATCTATATATCTATATATATATATATATGAATAAAAAACAGACCACATTAAGATTCCATGTAATAAGCTATTTCACCATAACCCCTTTAACAGGGTTCTGGATCATCAGACTTTACTTCCAAAAGCTGAAATGAAAAATGAAAAGAAATTCACACGTTTTTGACAGACCTCATCAAGTTTACGTAAAATTAATGAAGTGAGGAAGTGAGGTGGGAGAGAGGATATGAGTGTGTCATATGTATCATTTCAATTTCCTATTTTTAACCCCAGTGTGTCGGCTAGATGTTGCTCAAATTTAACGCGTCTCATCTCTAGATATAAGACCAACATTAAAGGAAGAAGCTACCACAACCCCAATCAATTACACGACAGGTTTCATTCAAATTCTTAGACACTGTTAATTCGTGTTACTTTAACGTGCATATTTGGGAGGTTAAGGTTTGATTAATATCTAAATGTCTAAACAATCTACGAAGATATATATATATATATATATATATATATATATATATATATATATATTTGTGTATTTAGGTAGCAAATTCTCTTTTAGCCATGTCTGATTGAATAAATTAGACATTATGCCTGCTAATTTTTAACAAAATTCGTTCATACTCACAAATAAACTTATGTATATTGATATTAAAGGATGAGTGAAATGTGCTATAACTGTTTAAATTTCTTTTATTTTTATTTCCCAAGTACTTTCGATTTTCTTCCAAGATCATCTTCAGGGGTGCAAGTAGTACAAAACTAAATATTATTCAAGGATACAAGTATTTATACAAATCTGTGCGTTGCTATCCATTACTGTAATTTTTCATTATGCTTTTAAATGCAAACAGTTGACAATGTGCTGAGTGTTCATTCGAATGTGAAAAAATTATCCATTATGGAATTTTTTCTTCTATGTTATAATGTCATGGTCATGTGTGCATTAAAGCATAAAAAAAAACTGTTCCTTTACAGGCATTTCAGAACATTACTGCAGTATTCGTAATTGATTCTGTTCAGTGCTGGCTTTAATTTTTTAATATAAATTGCTTCTAAGATCTGTAGCTTGAATTTTATATATATATATATATATATATATATATATATATATGGTTGTTCATTGTGTTTTATATATGTTGATTAATCTGTTTCATTTTTATTCAGTTCTGTCTTATTTTTTGTCATGTAGGAATTGTTCCAGCGTGTCCACCCGGTGCTGTTCTTAAATTCCAAATACAATGGTTTTAACACTTCTCTTACCATTCCTGGTTGGAACAATCCTCGATCCATCAGGTGAGATCATCAGTAAAATCCCTGCCACATTTGTAACAGAAAAATAATATCTGCTCCATCATTTTTTTAAGAAAACATTTGTTCTTAAAAAGCAAAAAAAGAAAAAAAAACAGAATACACTTAGACATTGAATGTCTGTTAGGAGTTCTCTCCCCTGACCTCAAGTGGAACTCCTATACATAATGTATTGCTAATGAAGTTGGAGACATGGTCAGCTCCTTGTACCACTCCAGAAAGTATCTGATTCCTTCTGCCAGGCTTTATCTTTACAAGAGTGAGAATAGACCTAAAATGGAATAACTGCTGCCACATTTAGGCTGGAGGTGCCCAATCCTCACTTTCCAGACTTGATAAAGTTCAAAATCATCTACACAGTTATGTAATGGATGACTTGTTTTCCACTCTGCAACCTCTTTCCACACAGTTGCAGCATTGCAAACCAATTGCTATTTAATGATGAAAATGAGTAACATAAAATTCAAAATACCATAACATTCTCAGCATTCTTTACTCGCAAAAATGTTTTCTGATGAAGCTGGAATAAAGTAGCAAAATCTGTCAAATTTATGAAGGTTTTCTTATTTCTTCCTTATTTAATTATTCTGTCAGGTTTAAGTTTAGCTTAGCACAAGAGAATAAATATGAGCCACACAGTGAGAATGAAACTCATTAATTAGTAACAATGGTCAACTAGTTTATTAACCATTACCCCATTAGAGACAAAAGGAGAAACACAAATGCAATTTTTACATGAGTGTCAAAGGGGAAAACAGAAGTGAAGGTTTACACTAGAGTAAAAAGGGTAGGTACAGGTCCTGTTTTTAACCTAAAATGAAAATGGTTGACACAGGTCTTGTTTTTAACCTAAAATGAAAAGGGTAGGTACAGGTCCTGTTTTTAACCTAAAATGAAAAGGGTAGGTACAGGTCTTGTTTTTAACCTAAAATGAAAAGGGTAGACACAAAGCCACCAAGTAAGTGTTGGTAGATATAACATTTGATTATCCTCCGAAAATATGCAAAGTGTTTTTCATAATATCAAAACTTCCTTCAATATCCAAATAAAATTATTGATTCAAGCTCTCAGGCACTAAATTAATTTCCGTGCCTTTCAGAATTCTGTGACTTTCAAGTTCAAGTGGGACGAATTGGATGATTTTGTCGGCGAGAACCTTGTACATGATTCCCAGATCTTTACAAATACAAGTTGACAATCACATATCCAAACATCTGAAAACCGAAAACCTCTGGAAACTGAATATTTTTAGCGTTGAGTTTGGCACACAAATAGCTTACCTACTTGACCCATGCCCCTTAGGTATGATATAACAACAGTTGTCATGATTGGCCTGACACTGTCCAACCCTCCGCCAGCCTGGCTGAGCAACCTGAGCCTGCCAAACATTAGTTGTTGTCAAGTGCTCATATTAGGTAGACATGATTGTGCTGTTCACTGATTTTTTTCTTTTCATAATGTTTGTGACTTTATACAGTGAAAATGTCAAAAAGACCTGCAGATACTCTTATGGGTAACAGTGAGAAAAAGAAAAGAAAGCAACTCTTGTGATAAAACATAGAACTTTTGCAGAATCTTGATAATGTTGTTCCTGTGCGGCATCTGACTGAGCAGAATCTGATGTCAAAACAATTATTTTGTATGATTTAAAGAAGCAGAAAGATAAGTCACTTTTAATTTTATATAGTGAAAGTGATGACCTTAAACTAATGAACAATAGGAAAACACTACATATGGCAAAATAAACTATAATACCTACTGGCTGTAATTTTTTATTTATCTCGCTCTTTGGAAACTATCTTACGCTAGTGTCAAGTAATTGACAGTGTTTTGTGACAGAGAGGCAGGCGCAGTACGCATATTTTAGTGAGCAACACAAACCATGAGAGCTCAGCATATATTTTTAGTTTATCATTTGATGCTGTTCATTTTTAAGTAATACAAGACGACTTTTGTCTGAAATAAACCAAATTGATTCATTACTTATGGTCTTAATTATCCCTATATTTTATTTATCTGTATATTACTCTATAAATAAACTGTAATCATATTTATAGTCTTTGTCTTTAGCCCTCGGGGTGTGAGTATTCATACGTCTTTTGCTGCAATATTGTTTAAATTTTTGAAAACTGAAAAAAATCAGAAAACTGAAACATAACTAGCCTCAGGGGTTTAGGATATGGAATTGTGTACCTGTACTAATGTACTGCTAAGTACTAATGTACTGCTAAGTACTAAAATCTTAATTGTTGCTGTGTATTTAATCTGTCCAAAGAGAGAAAAGCAGAATAATTCAGAGATTTAATAAAATTAGCTCAGTCTGATATTTAAGAAGGCATGAGAAAAAAAAAAACCATTGACCTCTTATCGGATCATATTGACCTCTGGTCAAATCATGTTGACCTCTTATCAGATCATATTGACCTCTGGTCAGATCATGTTCGGGAATATCATTTGTCTTTTGATTGTTGGAAATTGGTTTGTATGATTTAAAGAAATATAAAGACAAGTTACTTTAATTTTATATAGTGAAAGTGATGACCTTAAACTAATGAACAATAGGAAAACACTACATATGGCAAAATAAACTACAATACCTACTAACTGTAATTTTTTATTTATTTCACTCTTTACGCTAGTGTCAAGTAAGTGACAGTATTTGGTGACAGAGAGGCAGGCATGGTATGTTTACTTTAGTGAGCAACAGAGGGACAAAAGCGCAACATATATTTTTAGTTTATCATTTGATGCTGTTCATTTTTAAGTAATACAAGGCATTTTTTTGTCTGAAATAAATAAAATTTATTCATTATTTATGGTCTTAATTATCCTTCTATTTCATTTATCCTTATATTACTCTATAAATAAACTGTAATAATATTTGTGGTCTAATTTTTATCTCTTGTGAGTATTCATGCGTTTTTGCTGCAATATTGTTTGAATTTCTGAAAACCGAAAAAAATCTGAAAGCTGGAACATAACTGGTGTCAAGGATTTCAGATATCGAATTGTGTGCCTGTACTGACTACAATATGACTGAGTTCAATCTCTGCAAAGAGCATTTGATGAGATTCAGTCATCTTTTCTGGATGAGATTGTCACACCAGTCCACAGAGTAATGACTATCCTGATAATCAATTGATAGTCAGATTGATTCTCACTAGGTGCCCTGCTATTATAAATATCTACAAGCACCTTTTATAATTAGGATGTGTACAAAAGTTACCTTCATCACACTTCTACAGAAGTATAGGTTTATCCTTTGTTTGCTGTTTAGGATTGGGTTTCTGGTTCCTTCTACAGTCTTTTCATTCACTTTCACTCCAGTAGCCCCTTGTGGCTTTAAATTATAAAAAAAAAAAAAAATATATCAGATATTTACAGTTTCTAAATTTATGGAATGTTATTTTTATTTTTCAGAAATAAGCAGAATTCTGCGACCAATTTGTTTGTATCTGACATTGTACCTCATTGCTTGTCAGTTGAAACCCAGATTCGACATGCACACCAGATTTCACATTGGGTTGGTGTGGAGTTAATTTCTGCATCTTCTAGCAGAGTAAGTTCCTTTTTTTCATTTTTTTCTTTTTATTGAGGTCCATAGTTTGAGATGTGGGGGGCCTTTTTAACAGTTTTATCTTATGACCTGAAAAAAAAGGATTTCATTGTTAATGCTAATTTTTTTTAGGTGTTTCCTGTTTGGAAATTTTGGTGCAACACAATCTTCCACCTCTATTTGGCCATGTACCAGATTAGGCTAATCTTAATAAAAAAATAAATTTGTAGGAGGAAAATGAGACATCAGTAAGAGAAATGATCTGAGTCCAATTTTGAGAAAAGACTTAAAAACGAAATGACTTCCATTGACTGAATCATTCACTCCATTCTTTACTTTTCCTTAGTTTTTTCACCTGTCAGTGGGGCTTAGAATATGCTGAGTAAGACAAGGTATGGATACCTTTAAACTCTGGTATAAACTGGACTTGTGTCTCACTATGGTAAAACCAAAGCAGTGTCTCTCTTTTGGATTCTAGTGTAAAACTGGATCTATGTCTACCGTTTTGATTCTAATATGAAAGAGAACCTGTATGTTCTTTTTGACTCTAATGTAAAACTAGTTCTGTGTCTCCCTTTTTGACATTACAGGGTAGTCCGAAAGTCTTATCACCCCCAACTCTCTTCCAGATTGTAGGAGCTCATGTCAGTTGTCTGAAATAGAAAATTATATTATGTAGGGATGACAAGACTTTTGGACCACCCTTTAGAATAAAACTTGATCTGTGTCTACCCTTTGGCTCTCAGGTAAAATTTTGACTCTGGTATAAAACTGGACCTGTATCTATCAACACTTTTAACTAGTTTAAAACAGGAGTTGTGTCTGCCCTTTTGACTCGTGTATAAATTTGGACTCAAGTCTCTGCTTTTGACTTTAGTTTAAACCTGGACTTGTGTCTATTCTTTTCACTCTAGTAAAAAACTTGACCTATGTTTACACTTTTGACTCTAATGTAAGACTGAACTTGTGTTATGTAGTTTAAATGAAAAGAAGAAGAGAAAATGAAATTTTGCTTATCTTGTGATGGGGGCTGAGAAGAAATGGCAACAGGTAATTTCTTTTATAGAAAGACATTTTGGCAAACAGGGGAAACGGACGAATTATGGGAAGGAAGAAAGAAACTATAAATCTTGACTGAAAATAGGAGTTGGTGATTTTATTCGTTTCTGCGAACTTGATGAAGTAACATGCTAGTCAAAAAGGCTGGGGAGGGACATATGAGAAAGGTTGTAAGACACATCGAGGAAGAAAGAGATTTCAGAATAAGGAAAGACAAGAGAGATTCTAGGAGAAGCAGAGGGTATTCAAACTACCATGCCCTACTTACAATGCATTGATACATCCACTCTTCGGTTTATTTTTATTTTAAGTTAACCACAGTTACCCTCATGTAAAATTGAACCTATGTTTTCACTTTTGAATCTAATATATCATTGGACCTGTATCTCCCCTTTTGATTTTAGTGGAGTAATGGATAGCGGCTTGGATTCAGGAATCAGAGAGCCATGTTCAAAATTCCAGTCGAATCCATTACATTCACTTACGTGCTAATACCCTTGGGAAAGGTATGAATCCTAGCTATGGGTAAATAGCAGCACAGACTGGGTTCTATAGCCTTGGATGGCAACTGGTCTACCTCAGAAAGAAATGGCAACTTACTGTGGGGAAAAAAATCTGCTTCGTCAGTCATGTATCGAAAGATACATGATCACTTAAGCGTGTATGATGCATGGCACATAACTGACTGACTACAAATATTTCTACTGATACAATTAGATTTTGTTTTAAATGTATTGTTAACTAGTAAATTAATTTTTCTATTGTTTGAATTCCAGTCAAATCCATTACATTCAGTTACATGCTAATACTCTTGGTAAAGGTATGAATCCTCTTCTTCTAAAAAAAAAGAATAAATAGCAAGACAGACCAGGTTCTATTGCCTTGGATGGCAACTGGTCTACCACAGAATGAAATAGATTTTTTCACAGCAGTAGGTTGCTGTCTCTATGTCATGTATCAAAAGATACATGATCACCTAAACATGTATCATGCATGGCACATAACTGAGAGATAAAATTGAACCCATGTCTTCTGTTTTGATTCAAGTTTAAAACAACATTTGTGTCTACCCTTTTGACTCTCATGTAAAACTGGACTTGTGTTTACACTTTTGATACTTATGTAAAATTGGACGACTTTTGACGCTGAATTTACGTAATAATGCCAATGGTAAAAATAGTACAAGTGTAAAAATAGTAAAAAATTAGTTTATTGAAATATACATAGTTGGCAAAAAAAGTTGGTTTTGAATGAAAACTTATTTTTATAAAGAAAATATATCATATATAACCTTTTATTTATTTGTTTTTTAATATTAGTAAAAAAAAAAAGTAGAATTATTTTACCTCCATTTGTTAATATAAATTTATTTGTGTAAAATTTACAAAAAACAATTATAATAAATCAACTATGTTTTGACACGAGCACACCATTTTATACCAACCGTTAAACACAGAATTTAATAACTAGAATCTTATTGATGTAATGGAATAACCTGCCACCCCTATCAGTAGCGGCACTATAGGTCGTAACCACATATAAGTATTCATTAGGACAGCAGACGGGGGAGTTGAGCTGGGATTTGCGAGAACTAGCAGCTTTCCGATAGCAGCACGCACACAACTGTACTGACTTGTGATGACCGTGCACATAACTATTACTTCCTTGCTTGTTGTACTGGTTCCTACAATAAACCTGTTACTATTTATCCACTACTAGCAGTAGAGCCCGGCGTTGCCCGTGGAGGTAACAGTAAGAGATAGATCAAGTATCGACCATCATAAAGACTGAAAAATAAAACTGACAAAGATTATTGTTTAAGGTTGACGGACACGCATATCTTAATTAGTTGTTTTTTTTTTTTTACAAATTGGTCAAACCCAAACTCAAACAAAAACATTGTTTTCAATCGTTATGATTCTACCAATTGAATAGAATTTTATTATAAACAGTTGTCTTGTAAATGGAATTTTTAAAGCATTCTGAATGTAAAAATAAAAAGTGTGAAAGACAATAAGAAACACTACCTGCCAAAAAAAGTTTTGATGAAATCGGTTGAAAAATGTAGGAAATCCGATCCCATATATAAAGGAACACACACACACACACACACAAATACACACACAACACCTGGGTTTTATAAGTATAACTCGATATGAGTTGTCCCCCTTTCATTCTCGAAACAGCAATGCCTCTTAATCGTGTTTTCAAATTGATTTCATGCAAAAACAATTGTGTTTTTCCAATTTTTGGTGCTGTCAGAACCACCGCATGGTAATTTTACGTAGTCCTGTGAAGTTTTGTTGAAATCAGTTGAAAAATATAGGAAATCCGATCAATATATAAATGAACAGACACACACACACACACACACACACAATCTGGGTTTTATAATAAGTATGATGTTTGCCCATTCCATATTCCTATTAGCATGGAATATAACACTTATGTTGTGACCAAGTCATTTTTACCATGCCATTTTACCATGCCATTACCGTTTAATCTTCAACTCTAATTTGGACTTGTATCTCACCTTTTTGACGCTTGTGTAAAAAAAACAAAAACATGTTTACCTTTTGTGATTTTTGTCCTATAAAACTTATATTTGAAACTAAATAACCCAATAAGTGTTGACATGTCATTAAATTAAACAATCACTTCACCATCCTTTCTGCAGCAAGATTATTTTCCCTTTCTACTACAGTCGGTGAAATGATTGTATATTGCTTATCACCATGTGCAACATTTTCACCCCTCTTGCTCCCTCTTTTTTACATCTTTTTTACTGATATGACCAAAAATTTAAAATATTTTCCATTAACTCAACAGTATGCAATTCTTCAATGTTACAACCATTTTCTCTCCACCCCTCCATTCCATTTATCGCATATTAGTGACACACGCCTATCAAATATGATTGCATGAACTAATTGTTTACTTGATTTTTTTCCTTCCCATTTCAGGCTCAAGTATCACTTTTGACTAAATTCCTTAACATTGCACTGTGTTGTACCAAAATACAGAATTTTGCAACTGGTATGGCCATCTTGGATGGATTAGAAAATGCCTTGGTACGACAGCTACCAACTTGGAAGGAACTAAGTATAAAAAGCATCAATATTTTCACAAATCTCAAAACTTTCAAGGTAAGAAATTCCATGACTATAATTAAATGAGAAACAGATATTATTTTCCAAAATGGTTATAATCATAAGAAAATTCACAAACATCTCTCAGATTTTTAATGTTTTTAGCATGCCTGTAAATACTGATCAAATGTCAGCCATAGTCAAGAGTCATTGTGGACTCCATGGTCTTTGTCAATAGCTCTATAGTATATTCTATACCAAAGATACATATGGTTTTCAATACAAAGTTGTCCTTCTCCTACACTGGTTGCCATCCAAGGCTGAAGAGACTGGTCTTCCTTAATATTTAACCCATAGCTGGTGGGAGAAGAAATAGATTCACATCTTTCCCAAGAGTATTTGTATGAAAGTAAATGTAACAAACTTCACTGAAATTCAAAACTGACACAGGCAAGAATAATACGATGAAAGAAATACTAGTGAAAAATGAATAATAATTGCCAAGGCTTCATCTAAGAAATTCAGACAACTTAAGACTATTACTACTTGGTGGAAAAGCAAGAGAAATAAGATGAAAGAAATACTAGTGAAAAATGAATAATAATTGCTAAGACTTCATGTAGTAATAAAATTCAATCCTGGATTTGAAAGAAAATAACTTTGAATGTCAACAACTAAAAGATGCTTGTCTATGTTAATAAGATTAACAATAAAACATTTGTTATTTATTCAATTCCAAATAAGAATCTAGACAAAGTGTGTGTGCATTCAATCTGAAATTGTTGTGAGAGAAACTTCAAACCTGATTTAGAAAACATATCTATTTTCATAAGGAATCAAGTGATGTTGATTCCTGATATGGAAATCATTAATAACCCAAGAATCTGTTAGAACTGAGTGAAATCTAAAGACCGCTGGATATGGTAGACATCTGATGAAGGTCGAGGGATATATTGACCAAGACATTGTAATAATTCAAAGATGAATATACTCATTAAAATTGATTATTTCAGAACTTTAGTCAACAACAGATAAAATACATAGGCATGTTAATGTCTCAGATTGAGCAATAGCTGAACATTTGATTTGAGGGTTATCCCCATATATCTTTGACAGAAAGTCGTCAGAAGGTGCCACTAAGAACCTATAAAAATGAGACACTTTCTCCTGTCTTCATCCTCTTCTCTCTGTTTTTACTGCATCAGTTATAGTTTTTCAAAACTCCACGAATTGCTACAAAACTCGAGTCATGTTCTTAACCTCTCGTCAAATCAAAACTTTCTTTTAACTGTATAGATACAAACTCAGTTCATACCTGAGTTGATAAGACAAATGACCGATATCTTCGTCTGCCAAAATAGGCTATTCCCCATATGAGGTAATTTTGAATTTTATTGTTAATTAATTAATTATATATAATTTGTGTGTGTGTCTGTGTGTGTGTGTGTCAAAGGTGAAAATTGTTTTTTTTTTTTCATGTTGTCCTAGGTATGACGATAAACTACATCAGGCAGCAAGGCCTCTAATTAGGAGGTTTTGAGGAGCATGGAACCACCTCCTAATTGCTGTTGTTCCCAGGTCCACTCTGACCTAGGGTGGTAGCACCTGTCAGGGTCCCAGCTATAAGCAAATAGTTAACCTCACAAACTAGGATCAAAACACTATGAAAGTATAAAAATAGATTTTTATAGTAAAAATACCAGCAATACATTTGAAAAAAAAATATTATCCAGTTAAAAATTGACTCTTTACAAAAATGTGTCAATGAAACCTGATCTACCAACTGATTTCTTACAAAGAATACATATTCTATTCATACGAACCTATCCTAAAATCTTGTCAGTATTAAATAACCCATTGAGGTGTTGATATGCTGTAAAACAAAATAAACCAATAAATGAAATTATGCATTTGGCAGACACTATATTAATCAAGTATTCAGACTTTGCTCTTTCAAGACAAAAATGATATGATATAAAGAACATGTATGAGCTCTTCAAGAAAACAAAAATGGATGACATAATATTATTTCTTAAAAAAGATAGCCTCTACCAAAAAATATCATCCAAATGAGAATGTCAATAAAATCAATTTCTCTGCAAATTGTATATCTGAAAAGAATACATCAACAAAGCTAGACTTTCAACGAAAACCCTCTTTACAAATATATGCCAATGAAACCTGATCTACAAACTGATTTCTTGCAAAGAATACATATTCTATTCATATGAACATATCCTAAAATCTTGTCAGTATTAAATAACCCCTTGAGGTTGATATGGCATAAAACAAAATAAACCAAACCTCCTACCATGCTTTAGTATAAACACCAACGGGAGCTTGTTCCCAAAACATTGGGATATCTTCCCCTTTAAAGACTGCACTTTATTCCCACACACACACACACACACACATGTATCACCCACACAATTCTTATATATATCTTTGACAGAAAGTCATCAGAAGGTGCTACTAAGAACCTATAAAAATGACACTTCCTCCTGTCATCATCCTCTTATCTCGTTTTTTTTTTTTGTAATGTCTTCTTTCTTTTGCATGCATTGTGTATTTTCTTTCTCTTTTTATTCAGTTGCACAAAAATCTATAATATAAAGTATTGTCTTGTTTAAATTGTTTTCCATTTTCTTACACCTATTGTTTACATTTGCAAAATATTGTTGCCATTGCTTTTAGTCTAATCAGAAGTAGTATCTGCAACAGATTAAAAACTAGCATCTTCTCTGTGCTGAGTGCAGTTAATACTGATTGACTTGAAAGTTTTGGAATTAGTTAGTCCTACCAGCCATCTCATTGTGAGCAGGAGTTGTTGGTAAACTTAAAGATAATTAACCATTAATTTTGTATATATATATATATATATATATGGTAATCCATATGGATAATTCAGGAGAATATAATCAGGAGAGTTAAATGTAAAAACAGAGCAAATATTAATTATATTAAGAAACAGAAAACTTTAAGGTATATATATATATATATATATATATATATATATATATATATATATATATATATATATATATATATATATAAATTATGTGTATTTAGGCAGCATTTTTACATTGATGCATGTTTCATTAAATAATATAGACAAGTGTTGTCTATTTATTTTATGTAAATTCTTTTCATATTGTCTGATAAGCTTAATAACATTATCATTAAACGAAGAAAGAAAATCACAATATTGATACATATTTTTTAATCCAATCTAAGCTTTTGGCTTACATAAGCCATTATCAAAGATGACAATTACATTACAATATATTAAGCAATACACGGACAAAACAGTGATGATAGTCTGTTTCTGTTTGTCATTGCTTGGAAATCTTCCATGTAAACTCATGCATATAAGACGCTGGAAGCGAAAATCGCACTGCAGCTCATAATGTCACACATGACCATGCAAGAGTGAAAACAAGAAGTATTAAGTATGGGAAGCTGTTGGTATAAAGCAATGGCTTCTGTTATCAATAATAGGCATTTAAGAATGTTTGTGGAGATTTCATAGTTTATTTTGTTTAGGTTAGGTTTCAACTGTTTAATGTATATAGCTTCAAGAATTTTTAGTTTTTGTTTATTGTTTTTATGTTTAAGTATAGTTGTGTTTTCCACAAGGATTTTCCGGAATTGTGTATGCAGCCAGGCATGTTGTTTTAAATGCCTAAAAATGTTAGAGTTATCATTCAAATGTAGTGTCAAGTGTTGTGAAAATACTAAGAAAATCTTTTGCAAATTCCATATTTCTAAATAATTTTATTTTTTTATTGTTTTCAGAATTCTGATTATATTGGTATGTCAACTGAAAAACCACAAATGGAGAAAATTTGTCATCCTGTCATCCCTTCTATCCTTCCATATTTACTGAATGTCCAACAGTGTGAAATAGGCAGCTTCACCTTGACCAATGGTATGCACAAATGGACAAAAATGAGGTAAGCAAACTAAAGAAATAAAAAAAATATATCCAAGGGAGATAACTTTTGTTTAAAAAAAATAATAAGAGATGCTCAGTTTGATTGGTTAATCAAATCTTTGTTTTGGTGGATTGGCTGTGAAATTTGTTTTTTGTAGCCATTGAAGTTGAGAAGGTATGTGCTGATAAGGAAAATTTTACTGAGTTGGTTAGTAGAAATAGACTTGTAAGGATACAAAGGGTGGTTATCTCCCTTTGGCTAAGACAAAGTCACAAGTGTAATGTGGCAGCCTGTAAGTATGTTGGGATCTATCTACCCAGATTTTAGTTGCTAACTGATTGTCGGGATACCAAACATTTAACAAAAACAATAAATCTTTTAAATGAAACATAAGAAAGGTTAATTTCGAAAGGAAAATGAAAAGTAGAAGCAGAACACCAACTGAAATAATCTTTATATATTCTTTTCAAAAATATAAAATAACAATAAAATGTTCAATTTTCCTTGCAGTGAAATTTGTTTTATCAAGTAATTAAGTGTTCTTAGTACAGTGTGTAATGGGTGAACAGGCTTATTTAATGACAGTCAGCCTAATAGGTTTGTGAGTTCATAGACAAAGGCTTAGTAAATAGTTGCTGGTTAATCCCTTCTATTGTGTGCATGGACAAGGCCTTAGTTGGCAGCTGCTGGCTGTCATCTCTTTCATTGTATACATGTGTATGTACACACATAGATTAAGTTGGCCTCCCTAAATTGTTGTGAGCTGTGAGAAGCAGTAGGTTTCTATTTTTATATCTGTAACTGAATTCAAAATCTAATCTCACATACAGATGCGAACGTTTTGAATACAAGGTTTTCATTGGTTAGAAAATAATTTCACATAGGCTCACAAAAATCTTTTTTCTCAAATTTGTGGGAGTGGTGAAAGAAGTATTTATTGTTATTTTCTAAATGGTTGTAAAATAACACGTGGTAGGTCTAAAACTATTTCCACAAGTATTTCGGGGGTATTTGCTCTTGTAATGATTATTTATCAAACAAACCTTCTGATGTAAGGATGAAAAGAGTGGTTACCTCCCTTTAGCTATGAGAAAGTAACAAGGGTCACGTGGCGGCCTATAAGTATGTTGGGATCTGTCTACCCGGATTTTAGTTGCTATCTGATTGTCAGGATTCCAAACATTTAACAACAAAAACAACACATCTTTTAAATGAAACATAAAAAAAGATGATTTTCCGAAGGAAAAGTGGAAGCAGAACATTAGTTGAAATAATCTCTATATGTTCTTTTCAGAAATTTACAATAACAATAAAATGTTCAATTTTGTTTGCAGAGAAGTTTATTTTATAAAGTAATTAAGTGTTCTGAGTGCAAAGTAAGATGTATGGACTGACTGATGGAATAAGGAGGCAATGTGGGTGATTTGCTACTATGTAAGTGGCATGTCGGGTCCTAGCCGTAAAGGTTAGATCTGGTGGAACCAAGGAATGTAGTTCGTCCGAACACTTTCCATGGAAGTAGTGATAGAGTGGCGAGAGTTTTGCTACATTCCTCCTCTCTGTGTGTGTGTGAGAGAGAGAGAGAGATTGGAAAATAATTTGTTACCCAAAAGGACTCTGGGACACTTTTGAACTCTATCAAGACTGCCCTTGTAATGATCAAACAAATCTTCTGATGGGATTTTATTGGTTGAAAAATATATATAAGTGACATGTGTTCGTAGAGTGACGAACCCCAGCTGCTGATGTAGACAACTAGGATGGTAAACCTCATCACAAGCCTACAGTAGTAGGGAGAACAGAGGATCCCACATGGTACTATGAAGAGCATAGAAGATATCATGGAAGATATCACAGGCCTGTCTGTTTTCCCTTTGATAAATATTACAAGTAAAACACTTGATTCTCATCCTTTCACGTTGCTTGTTGTATTCATATGTTATAATTTCTTTGTGTGGGACAAATAGTGACAGGTATAAATATTTACAGTATTTATGTTTGGACTATTGTCCTCATCTTTGTTGTTTTTGTCACAACATTTCAGCCATTTTACCCTCCAGCCTTTCTCAGGTGTGTATCAATCTGGGTAGCTTACAGGCAGAAATATATTTGTATATAGTTTCCCATATCACTTAGCAGTATAAAAAGTATCTTTGAGAACAATTCATGTTTGTCATTACTTTCTTTCAGCTATTCCAGTGGTTCTCAGCTGGGGTTCATATAGACCCTGAGGGTCCATATAACATTACTAGAGTCCACACAAAAAAATAGGTGGGGGTGTACAGTAATATTTTAGTGGTCCATAGAGCAATTTCACTTCAGATTGGTTGTTCCAATTGAGAATTGGAATTTATAAAGTAAACTACACTATATTAAAATACTAAAAATAGAAAAACAACTCTAAAATTAGCAGAGTGATGAAATCTTGCAAAATTTAAAGAGGTTGAGTATAATATATGGAAGACAAATGATGCTAAAAAATATGTACTACTCTGGGAAAAAGTACAGCATAATGTTATTACATTTCCATCATCTTACCTTATTAAATTGGGTTTTATTCCTGGGTCTCAATTACTGCCAAAAACCTGTAATAGATTCAACATTGTGAAAAGGGATGATTTTCAACTATCATTGACATCGATGGAACCGAATATGAAAAACTTGCAAAGCAACATCAACCTGAGTTATTTTATTAGTGTACATAAAAATACAATACAAAATAAATGTTCCATAGAATTTATTTGTTAAATACAAGTTTATTTTCATTAAATTAGTTTTACTTCAAAATAAAGCATATGCATTTACTATTTTTATAATCAGTCAGTTATGTATCATGCGTGATACACGCTTAGGTGATCATGTATGTTTCGATACATGACTGACAAGGTAGATTTTTTTCCCGAAGTAAGTTGCCATCCAAGGCTATAGAACCCAGTCTGTCCTGCTATTTCCCTATAGCTGGAGGGAGAAGAGGATTCATACCTTTCCCAAGGGTATTAGTACGTAAGTGAATGTAATGGATCTGACTGGAATTCGAACTCGGCTCTCCAATTCCTCAATCCGAGATGCTATCCATTTTTTATAATACAATTCCTAAACTTATCTATTAATAAAAAATAAAATAAGCTTTTTTTTTTTTTTTTCATCGAATGGTTATGTGGGGTCCACCAAAATAAAATTAAGAGTAAAAGGGGGTCCATGGGTCAAAAAAGGTTGAGAACCACAAAGCTATTCTCTTCTATCTGTTGTATGAAGATGTTGCTACATCATGAATATATTAATGTCTATAATGAAAACTGGTAATATTTACTCTTTCCTAGCACCTGCATTAAGATTGTAGGAACACAAAGGCATTCAGTGAGGATAGATCATGTGACAACTGCTTAGTGACATCACTTCATACAGTAATGAAAGTCGTCAGTAAGCTTATTGGAATCAAGACACAATAGTTGTTTGTCCTGCCTGGCTCAACATGCTGCCATGTGTTGCAGCTTACAAGTCCATGGCACCATTTCTCTTTGGGAATATATCTTCCCCAGATATAGAAATCTCTGGCTAGCAGTCTTCAGTTTGGGAAAACTCAAGACTCAGCATTTACAGTTTACAGAATATGTCCTTGCTTGGGATATAGTAGGTGAATCTGGTCACATTTGAATCTCGAGTCCTAAATATGGTTTATCCAGAAACACTGAAGAATCTCCATATTATATGTAAGACCTTATCATTTTGTACTCCCTTCATTATGCTTGCTGTGTAGATATATATTATTGTGCAGGAGATGTCTAAATATGTATATTTATTTTTGTGTATGTCTTAGTGGTATAAAAATCTCTCTGAGAACAAAGCATGTTTGTAGTTTCTTTTCCTTTCAGCCATTCTGCTCCACCTGTGAAATACAGTTTTGTTATATTGTCGCCCTCAGGCCCCTCCCTGGTTGTCCAAGATGTCCAACACCTGCAGCTTATCACAATAGGTAATTGTCTTGATCCAGGCCTTGCCCTAGCCCACTTTGTGATTGGCTTTCATCATAAGGCAAGCCAAGATCAAATTGCCATCAGGTATCTTCGTATTGGGCTAGGGTGGAATGCAAAGAAGAAAAAATATAATACTCAAATAAAAAAATAAATACTATTTTTATATGAGGCCCTTCGTACAACAGTGGTTAATTGTTGTTAAAGTCTATTAAGGCTGATGTCAGAGGTCCTTGTTGGCAGATAATCATGTGGGGTGTCTCGCATCCAATAGCTGGAACAATCTCTCTCCTTTCTCGCTTCGAGGCATTTGTATTTATTGACGTTCACCCAAACCGGCGTGGGAAGTGCAACTGGGCACTCAGTATTTTCTCTACCCGTCATCTTCATTGTCTGGGTTCTGAGAATTAATTACTTCCTCCATGAGTGATGGTCACAGACATTAATCTGCCCTATAACTTCCACCTTCTCTTATTACCATCTCCCACTAATACTCCTCAGTGGGTGTGTGTAGCTCCTCCACCTTCCTTGGTGTCTCATCTGCGCCAGCCACTTCGGCCACCCTCCAACAAATGGTTGTCTAACAGCCTCAGGGTGAAGACACAAGAAAAGATTAATTCCAAGTTTGTTATCTACGCAGAAATTTTTTCCCACATCAACCCCATGTTTTTCATTGTCCAAAATTGAAACACAACCCAGATGGCTTTCCAAACCTTTGGGGTCTCATCAGGGACATTCTCTAAGAAAATTTCTCTCTCTGAATTATGATTTTAAATCCTACCTGATTCTTTCCTCTTGCTTTCACAGCCTGTATGTCATCAACCAAGTGTCAAAATATTTACCATATGACCTGTTGTAATTGAATGTTGTTTTTTTCTGCTAGCTGTCTGGTTCTCAGCCTTTATGAGAAATAAAATCTTCAATCTTTCCCACATGTTTATTGGTATGTCATTCAGTCTATTCTTTAACCCTTCTTATTCCTTATTATTTACCAGTAACAAATAGTGTCACAATATCTTGGATATAATAATGTTCATAATGGGAGAATAAACGCTTTTTCCATAGCTCTCACCCATTATAAGATGAAGGAATAAACAAAGTGAGATATAACTTTTAATTCTCTCTGAGACTTTTAGTGTAGAGAGAGTTCAAAGTTCATTCATGAAAGAGTGAGTCAAGTTAAGGGATGTTTGTATGATACACATTTTTAAATTATATATATATATATATATATATATATATATATATATATATATATATATAAATGTGTATTTGGGCAACAATCCCACTTTTATGTAAATTTTGTTGATAATTAAGATGGCAAGAGTTTTTACTTGTGGGTTTTTAAAAACTCTTGCCATCTTAATTTTACTAGACAATGTTTTCTCTCAGATATAAAATAGGTGTTATTAAAAATTTCCTTATGTGAATGCATGAGAATTCATCCTCTCGTCCGATTTTCTTTAAAGAACTGAATTACTTGTAACAAACGCTTGTTAATAAGAGTTTTCCAAATCATTTTATAGATTACCATATTAGACTTCTTTCTAAGATAACCAATAGCAATGCAGAAAAAACATTAACATTTTCTACAAAAATCAAATGCACAATAAATGAGGTTAATTCCGCCTGTCTATAAAACTAAGAAAAACAATTTTTTTCCTTTGCTGAAGTCTGTAGACATTTTTTTGGTGGACTCTGTATATAAAAGTGGACACCGTTGCCACTTGGTGTTGACCTCAGTTTTTTCATGCTTGAATGCAATCTTCAGGCCATCTTTTGGTTTGACTATTCTTATATGCTAGTCAATGAGGCAATATGGTTAGGTATTTCAAGTTTATTGTATTATCCTAATGCTTACTAAGTAGGCAGCAACAGTTATACTTCAAGTTATTCTAAAGACTATTAACTAGAAATAATTGTAAGTTAGAATGTGGTTATTTGTGGCTATTGTAGAGTGTTGTTTGTTAACTTGTTATTTATTCTTGAGAAGTGTCTACTTTTATATTTTACATACACTCTGTCCCTTATAGTGAGTACTTTACACATAAATATAGCAGACCTTAAAACTAATATATATATATATATATATATATATATATATATATATATATATATATATATATATCCATAATGTGTGCCTAAGTGTGAGAGTTTCTGACTGATATCAAATCAGTCAGGTTTTTGATCTCGAAGCAATCACATGTCTAACTATACTGATGAACCATGATACAGTGAAACAGTCTGTTTGTGGATGACATATATGCACATTGTGTTTTATATAAACTGATAGGTCAATAGTCATGGCTTAGTATTGTGCAAAATTCTCATGCGACCAGCAAAGGACAACAAATATGCATACCATCAGTTCCACAAGGAGTCGGGAGAGATGTTGAATATCAGTACTTTTGCTTTTGATCAGAGTGTAGTATCTGTTTGATCTCCAAAACGTGTTAGGGATATATCCAAAATTACACAGATGCACATTGCATATTTTATATGCATAGTATTCACAAAAAAAACATATCTCGTCTTCTTTCTTGGATACAATATTGGATTTATGATGAAACTAATGAAGCTTAAAATTCAGGTCTTCTAATCCGAGTGAAACTCCTGAAGCTATTTTGTTCAATGAGTGAATTTTTCAGCATAATTGATGTTTTTTTTAATGTGTTTGTTATTAAAATAAGGCCATTTTAATGTTAGAATCATAAGCCACTCGGTTGAAGTAGTTAATGTTGGCCTAGGAAGAAGATGTTCCCTCTGATAACCCTTTCATATATCCTCAAAAATTCCCAGTAATTGGTTAAATTTCAAAATTTTCTTGCAAACTTGTAGTGCTCGGTGCTCTAGCTGTACAACCTCATCAGCCTAGATTTTGGCAGTTGGATCTTTGAATTGATTGGTGCTGGTTGTGAAAGCCCCCCCATATTTGTAATGAAAGACATGACTTACCTCGGAATTCAAAATGAGTGCAAATGTGTCTTGCCTGCAAAGTGATGACAAAAAAATATGGCCACTATTGAAGACAATTTATGCACACCTATCTCATCCAAGAAGAGACATGTAAATTTTGGCCGTCTTGGAATAGCATAAAAAACGAAGTGCCAGCAGCACAAAAGATGGAAGTCATTCGGCAGACTGCGTGTGTTAGAGTTGGATGTACAGATTGACAGACAGACAAAGAGGAAGTTGAAGTAGGCGCGGCTGAGTTGGTGTCTATTTCACAACTGCCCAGTGTAACGGCCGAGAAAGGGAGATACGAAATCCATTTCTTTGAGGTGACCGAAGAAGAAGAAGAAAAAGAGCCGACCTGCTGGCAAGCGTCGCATTGCACTTTTTGACCCCTCTCATCATTTATTTTTCTCTACAATATTTGTTCAACCTTCGCGGCCCCCAAAATGTAGGTCAGCCACTGCTTGGACAGTCAATTTAAATACCAAAATTAGTTATACTATTTTCTAGAATGGCATAGACTGGGCTCTTCAGTCTTTGTTAGCAACCAATTTAGGAGAAGGATAACAGTTGGGCTTGGGGCTAGTAACTCTATTCCATAAAAAACGATTGGCTATGGAAGCCACATCAGCAACATCAGACATGGTGAGGCTAGAGTCTATACTCTATGAGAATATCTACAGGATATTCCATATTTTATAGAATGGTTTTATTTATTTATATGGTTGAATGCAAATTATTGTATCATTGTCTCTACACTCTTATTTCATTTTTCTTCCTTTTTTTTTTTTTTTTTTTTTCTCCAGACACATTACTCGAGCCATTGATCCACTTCGTGTATTTCGGCAATATAAATATCCATTTAAGCCAATTCCTTACTTGCAAAATTTTCTACAACAACGTATTGAGCAAACGTGTCACCAAGATCTCAACGTTTTGGCCAGGGAACATTCCTCTTTTGATGACAAATTGTCATTTCCAGTCCAGGGTAAAAAAAACTTTGAAAGAGTCATGAAACGAATCCGAGACAAACTGAAAACGAACAAGTAATCTCTGTTTATGTTTTCCCTTATTAACAATTATTTTAAAATAAAGCATTTTCTTTCTTCCAGGAATTATTTGAATTAATATCTTCATCTTGCTTTGTTTTGTTTTTTTTCATTGTTTCAACTGATGCATTCTTTGGCCTTCTTCAGACATGTCTGCTAATGAATGTTGCCAGTTAATTTTCTTTTTATGTTGACTTTTTTTATTTACATTATTTATTAATTATTTATTAGCATCTCGGACTGAGAAATCGGAGAGCCAAGTTCGAATTCCAGTTGAATCCATTACATTCACTTACATGCTAATACCCTTGGGAAAGGTGTGAATCCTCTTCTTCTCCCTGCAACTATGGGTAAATAGCAGGACAGACCAGGTTCTATAGCCTTGGATGGCAACTGGTCTACCACAGAAAGAAATGGCAACTTACTGCAGGAAAAAAATCTGCCTCATCAGTCATGTATCGAAAGATACATGATCACCTAAGCATGTATCATGCATGGCACATAGTTGACTGATTACTGTCCCAATTTTGTTATTATTATTGCAACATTTTAGCCTTCATCAGGTACTTGTCAATATGTTAAGCTTCAACAAACTCCTGATGAAGGCCAGAGGACACAAGAACTGAAATGCATTGTGATAACTAATGATAAATCCTCCACCCAGAAATTTAGACAGAAATTTCTTCTTTTTTTTTTTTATCTAACAAATCTTAATTGTAAAGCTTTACACTTGTTTCTTCTTACTTGTCCTTGAGGTTTTGGTTGTAAGAACCCCAGGTTATGTTACTTTTTTTAATGGATGTAGTGAAGGCTAGTGCCCAAGATGGACTGCCTTATAGAACTAAAGGACTCCAACTGTCTTGAACACAGACTGCCTCAGCTGGAGAATGAACTCAACATAGAGAATGGAACTGACAAATTATGTGGTCACTTTCATTTCCAAACTCCATGTTTGTGAAAAGAAAATGATTTATTTACATTTTCACTATTTTCCTCATCTTTGTTGTTATTATCACAATGTTTTGGTTGTTGGGCTCTCCAGCCTTCTTCAATAGTAATTGTGAGTTCAATCCCTGGGTCAGGTAGTAGAAACTCAGACCCAGTGGAAATAATGCAAGCAATAACTGAGTAGTACAAAAGAAATAATTGTGAGTTCAATCCCTGGGCTGGTTAGTACAGATTCAGACTTGGTGGAAACAAGGCAAGCAACAATTGAACAGTATGAAATAAGACCCAATTGAGATATCCCTATACATGAATAGTGGAACAAGAAAACTCCTGCCCCATAAAGGGATTCAATTTGAAATTTCCTGAAACTTACCTGGATAAACAGACACCTGAAGAAGGCCAGTGGGCACTATCACTGAAATGTCGTGACAACAAAGACAATAGTCTGAGTGTAAATAACATAAAAAATGATAAATCCTCATCCTAGAAATTATTTTGTTGCTCAAATCTGTCAGTAAAAAAACAGTACTATTTCTCTTGAGCAAGGATAACATTCTATTGCATTGCTGACTTTGAATTATGATTGTCTATCTGAAGTCCCTCAGTAGGGACCCCAATGCTGCATCAACAGACAGAATCAATGGCAGACAATTTTCCTTTTTTTTTTCTTTTTTTAAATATTTCATCCAAAGCAAGGTGATAAAGCCACTAAGATAAAAGGCGTTGCTGAGAGTAAAAAAAAAACTGAGAAAACATTAGTGAAGAGAAAGGACAATAAAAGAATGTGATTCAGAAAGACAAGAGATGGTGATTGATTTTAAATTTAAATTTTTAAAGGTCATAGTTAAGATTAAAGCAAGAAGCTGGAAAAGAGTTCTACAGGCAAGAAGTGCAAGAGAAGAATCTGTTGGAATAAAACTTATAATTTCAACTGTAAAATGATGAGACCTAACTTCCAATCTAGTATTAGGCTTAAATTCATGAGGTTGAGATACCAGTGATGAAATCTCATCAGAACAATTGCCATGAAAATATAGAAAAACCACGGAGAAGTCACATCAGTGTTGGAAAAGTGACTGAAGTCAGTATGCCAGATCAGGAGTGAAAAACATTACAAATCTTCTTTGGATTTTGTCAAGAATCTTGAGATATATAAGAGGAGTACCAGGCTAGATGGGGCAGCAATATTCAATTCATGGACGAATGGTAGATTTATAAATATGCAAGATGGATTCTGGCAAGAAACATTGTCTAGCACAACACAGTGGGCCAACTTTTTGAGCAGCAAACCTGGCAATTCAATATAATAAATGCACTTGATGTCAGTTGAAAATGTGAAACTAAGAAGACACAATGAGTTGCACTTCTGGAGGTTAGCATCAGTCATATTCTGACAGAAGGCAAAAAGGGTTCTCTAAGATGACTAAAAGATAACAGTTTCATTTTGGGGTTAAAATTTACAAGCTATTTCTTGCCCCAATTAACAACCAATTGGAGGTCATACCTATTGGACATACAATGAAGACAGGAGTAAATAGTTGTGTCAGCTGCATAGGTACTGAGTGGGAAACTGATGGTACCTGGAAGGTCATTGAAGATGATAAGAAACAGTGTGCCTGAAGATAGAGCTCTGGGGGAGGACACACACATTAATGTAAAAGGATCGAGGAGAGCAGCTGTTTCATTACATGACTTAAGAAAGAATTAATCATAACAAAAATACAGCTGGAGACACTGTAGCTCTTCAGCTTGTGGAGAGAGCCAGTCTGCCAAATGCCTTCGAGATATCAAAAGCCACAGCCCCCTTCCCCCAGTGTTTTGCTGTTATTATTTAAAGCTCAACAGACTCTTTGAGAAGTTACTGTTAGCACATCAGTGGTTGACCTAGAGAAGCAAAAGCCATATTGTTTGTCTGAAATATATTAGGTTGGCCAGAAAGTCCAAGTGGAAAGAAAACAAAATTTTATCGTACGACATCAACGTTTATTCTTCAAAATAAAGCCCATCATTCTCGACAATCTTCTGCCAGTGATCAGCCAGCATCTGAATCTGTCCCAGATACCAGTCCTCTGGCTTTGAATCAAAAAAATATAAATGAGCGTCTTTCACTTCATCAAAATTGTTGAATCGTTGATTGTGGAGGAAGTGTGACATTGAGTGGAATCGGCTATAGTCACTTGGAACAGCATTGAGACTGGATGTGGAAGAATCTGAACACAGTCCATCTGTTTGAAGTTCACATTAGTCAACCTGGCAGTGTTATGGCCTTGCATTGTCTTGCAGAAATAAATTTACCTAAGCAGGATACTGCTTTTTTTATTTCGTCATACACATGGTCTAGCGTTGATGGCTCACCTATGCGGAATAAGATCAAAATGCAGTACTCTTTGAAAATTCCACCAGACAGAGATCAAGATTTGTTTCCTTTCTGCTTCCTGAGGGAGTCAGGACTTTCTGGCCAACCTAGTATATATATATATATATTACTGAAAGTAATGATATATAAATTCTAACGTTCACAGCATTAATTCAAAAGAGGGCTCAATACCGATAATAGAGCAATAATTATTTATTATAATTTTTTCATATAGACAAAAACAATTTACTCATTTTGGTAAACATTTTGGTTCTCACCAGTCGAGGTGCAACTAAATGCACCAAAACAAAGTTACATCTTTGTTGTGAGTAAATTGTTTTTGTCTATATGAAAAAAAAATTATATATATGTGTGTGTGTGTGTGTGTGTATATATATATATATAATGTTAGTAGGATGTAGAATAATAATATTTATATTTTATAATATCAAAATAGAATTTCTATTTGGTCATTTTCATTGTGTCTAGCAGAATTTTTCAGCAAGTGTGTGTAAGAGAGAGAGAGTCAGAGTGTGTACGTGTGTGAAAAGACAGGGTTCATTTGTAACAAGGAGACTAGGTAAAGGAGTAATTGTTTTATTTTAATCATTTCACCTTAAGTAAGGTGATAATTCCACTAAGACGCAAGGGGTTACTGGGTGTGAAAGATAAGACTAGGAGGAACTGAATACTCAAGGGATAAACCTCTACTAATTTTATGTCATGTTTTTATCCTTCTAGAAGGATTTCATTGGACTAAAGTAATGTTTTTGTCGATGGAATTATATATGTGTAGGATTTAGAGGGGGAGGTATTAAAACACAAGCATTGGTTCCACTAACATGCAATGCAGAAAATGTTGGAATGCTGAAATTTAAAATTTTCACATTAAAAATTTTTTCTTTCTACATGCCTGTGCATGTATTCCAGCCAATCTGATTCACTTTCCTGATGTTTTTATGATTTAGGGCCAGAGTTATTTCTTAATGTCTGCACTAAAGATTAGTTATCTTTTTAAATCAGCTGCCTTTCTTGGCAATAAGTACAACGTTTGTTTGTATGAAAATTGGATGTTCCACACTATTTACATTATTCGGATTATTGTCCTCATCTTTGTTGCCATGTTTATCACAACGTTTTGGCTGTTGTAGACTCCAGCCCTCTTCAGGTTATTAGAATGTCAAACTGAACCCTTTATTTCACTCACTGGGACACATGGCACAAAAAGACCTGGAATTGTTAATCAGATAGCCAAGTTCCAATTCCTGTTGGGATCGTTATATTCACTTAGACGCAAATACCCTTAGGAAAGATATCAATCCACAACTTCTTCTCCCTCCAGATATGGGTTAATTAATAAGACTTGTATCACTAAATCATTATTATCTCCAGAAAATAAAATAAAAATTTGCTTGAAAAATGTTTAGATTTTGGCATTAAATAACCCATAGATGTGTTGCTATGCTGCTCAACCAAGAGAAACATTTCAAATCTCATCAGGAGTACAAGAAAGAAGGATGAACGCCGCATTCTATAATTTTTTTCTGAGACAATGCCCTGTACATTTAAAGATGCATGTGAAGAGATGGGCACTGGTCATTTACACATTTCATCCTAAACAAATCTACAAATAGAAGACAACAATCCTTTCCCTACTGAGGCCAAAGTACTGACGATGAGGGAGGGGGTGCTCTGCT